ATTTTTATATAGGTATTACTAATTATGTATGTACATACATATGTTATAGGCAAATATAAATATGAAAATATACGTTTAGGGGAATTCTTCTTTTGGAACACTGTTTGGTCTTCTTTTTTAATACAGGTTGGTTGAAAAGTTGGTTGGTCTCACCAAGAAATAGCACTACTAGCTCCAAATTTTTTTTCTCAAGTTGGTACACCTGTCGTGATAACACATGCAAAGTTACAAGTTATTCTCTCAAAACATTCTTTGTTTACAAGCCAAAAATTGAATATCGCACAGTGATTTGATTCTTTGTTTTGAAAGGTTTAAAAGCAAAGGAAATTTATGAACAATTGGTAGAAGGGTATAAAGTATAAAGAGTCCTCACCTTCAAAACGCACCGTTGAATTTGGGGGAGAGGAATTTAAACGTGGTCGAGGTTTGAAGACGATCCACGCGAAGCACGACCAAAAACCGCAACCACACCAGAAATCATTGATCAAGTTCATAATATTGTTAGTGAAGATTCAAGTTTGACTAAGCGTGAAATTGTTAATGCCATAGGCATCTCAGACGAACGAGTACTACATATTTTACATGGAGAATCACATATGAAAAAGCTGTTTGGAAAGTTAGTGCCGCACACGTTAACAATTCAACAAAAACTGGATCGAAAACAAATTTCTCAGCATAATTTGGAGCGTTTTAAGCAGAATAAAACCGATTTCTCGCATCGTTTTATAACTATGAATGAGACTTAGATTTACCACCAAGATTCTTAATTAAAACAATAACGTTTATAGTGGACTGAAATTAGTTGTTCTGCTCCAAAGCAGGTGAAATCACAACGATCAGCTAAGAAGGTTATGGCATCAGTTTTTTGGGGTGCAAAAAGAATTTTGTTGATTGATTATCTGCAGAAAGGTAAAACAATCAACCCTGAATATTATTGCAGCATTTTGGATCAGCTGGATGAAAAAATTCGTGAGAAAAGGCCTGGTTTGCAGCACAAAAAATAATTTTTTTGTTTTAACAACGACAAAATTCAACGAATTATAGTACGAATTGCTTGAGCATCCACCGTATTCACCAGATCCCACACAGGTTCCCAGCGACTACTACCTCTTCAGAAACCTAAACAATTCTTTTGTGGAATTGCGTTTTTCGTCGAATGTAGAAGCTATTACAGCCGTAGACTGGTATTTTGCAGAGCTTTCGGAACGTCATTATAGGGATGACGTAAAATTATTGGAGGATCATTGGAATAAGTGTACCGAGGTTAAGGGAGGTTACATTGAATACAAAAATATATTTCGTACCAATAACAGTATTTTTTAATTTTTAGCGCAGAAACTTTTCAACCAACCTGTATATTAAACATTTAGATATTTACTACCGTTACCAGTAAGAATTTTATTTACTGATTTTTTAATTCAGATTAGAAAATGTGTGCAGAACATAAAATTATATGTATGTATATACCATGTGTACGTATGCAAATATATGCACCCAAAATTATTTTGAAAAGCTTACGATTTATCCGAATGGTGCAAAGCGGAAAATTATACTGATAGTTTATAGTTAGATAGTTAATACTATACTATTATACTAATAGTTTATTAAAAGTCTAGGAAATCAGTGGCGGCGTCTCTATTACAAGTTGAAAGGTACTATAAGATTTCATTGTTGTATTTAGTTGCTATTTTAGGCTTTCATTATATCCTGAACAGGATATATTAAGTTTTCGACGAAGTTTTTAACACCCAGAAGGAAACGTTGGAGACCCCATAAAATATATACATAAATTATCAGCATGATGAGCTGAGTTGATTTAGACATGTCCGTCTGCCTGTCTGTCGGTCTGTCTTTCTGTATATATACGAACAAGTTTCTCAGTTTTTAAGCTATCGATATGAAATTTTGCACCTGTCCTTTCCTCACTAAGAAACTGCTCATTTCTCGGAACGGCCGATATCATTCCACTACAGCATATACATAGTTGCCATACAAACTGTTGCCATACATATTGAACAATCGGAATCAAGTGCTTGTATGGGAAACTTTTTTATTTGGCGTAACATCTTCACGAAATTGGATCGAAATCAAGTTCTTGTAAGGAATCTTTGTATTTGTGAAGGGTATTATAGCATCGGTGCAACAGAAATTAACGTTTTTTCTTTTTTTAATTGATATTTTAGGCTTTTACGCTCGTCATTCGCTCATGCAGTGGTGCGATGCCATGAATTTATAAAATACAAGCAATATATGTACCTAGACATGTCCATATATTATACATGAACAAAATCGAACAGACGGATCGAATAAAACACGAATTGTCGTTTCAATGGCGTCCAGGTGTTCTGTTATTAAGGCTGTATGCGTTATGCTGTTCCTTGTGAGTTACTTCTAAGTATGTTTGTAAATTTTGTATGTGCATCAAATCAGAAATTTACCAGTTTATAACTAACAATTCCTCTCTAAAATCCAACTAGACGTCAAATTTCAACCAATTATCGAATGATTTTCTTTATTATTTTATTTACCCATAATGCAACTAGAATTGCTTAGTCTATTTTTGAACTGATGTAATGTGACAGTTACCATTTGCTTGTATGGAAAAAGGAAATCGTCTGACTAGTTAAACTTTCAGTGCTTACTAGTTTTAAAATTGTTTATGACTAGTTAATTTCACTACTCTTGTATGCACATACCTAAGTATATAGTATGTACATATGTTAAAGTCACAGTGAGTTTGTATGTCACTGATTTCCTAGGAATTATTGAAAAAAAGAAAAATATTTTAAACGTTATGTCAAAAGTTATTTGACTTGATGAAATGAGATTCTTTTTAGGTTTAAGGTGTTAGGTGTGTTTCAGAGGTTCAGAAAAAGGGTATTTTTACTATTTTTTATGTATGCATGCAATCATATATTTTATTTAAATCATTTAGCATATCAAAGAAGCATATTTAAACGGAATTTTATGAAATTTTTGCTTAAAAATTCCGAAAACTCAGCCGTCGTCTCAAAAAAATTCTCTTGCCGTGGACAGCATAAGTTGGTTCATCTGAAATCAAAAACCAAAAAAAAAAAGGTTACTACATGGGTAAATCTCTTATTGGATGAAGAAAAAAATTAAAATTTTTGACAAACATCGAATTTTTTTTATTGTTCGCTATGTATTGGCTCGAAAAAATTAGTTGTAATAAAAGTAAAAACCTTCGTTCAATGACTAGATAATGTTCTTTTAAATATGTGTGCAAAATTTGAAAAAAATTGCTTCATAACTTTTCGAGAAATCATGTCCACCGAATTTTCCAACAGAAGCACTTGCCAGTATAAAAAAGTTAAAAATTGATGAAACAAAGAAAAAATCGAGTTTAATTTAATAAAACAAGCTCCGATACAACAATTAATTATAAATAAATTAGCCAACAGCTGCTCAAAGTGTGTTATGAGATTTCTACCTTTAGATGCTATTACATATTCTTTTAGTTTTTCATTTATGACCATGAGCCATCTGCTCACCTCAGTTTCATTACTACATTCCAAATGTCATATATAATTTATCATATATTCCGAATGTATGTAAATTTTACAATCCACCTGTATTTATCTGGGAAAGGCATATGAACCTATTTATATAATTAATTTGTGGTACCGTATTAGATACATTATTCTAAGCGAAAATTTTTAAATTTTAAGTTAAGCTTTCAGTTTAATTTTTAATAATAAGAAACTTTGGTAACAAATATTAATAAAATAAATAGATGTGGTAACGAAAGTCCCCACATATAAATGGTGACCCCGTAACGGTATCAAATATCCGACTGTGAAGCTAACAGTATCCACATATAAATGGTGACCCTGTAAACCAATCAATCAGACTATGGAAGCTAGCGGCGGCTCCTCATATACCAGTGACGAGACTCTAGTCCTTCGATCCGTTTGATTCACCAACGCAACAGCAACTAAACCACATCATTCCAGCATCAGTCCTCACCGACTATTTATCTACAGCCGCACCTCACTACCAAAATAACGCAACAAAACAATCGAAAATCGAATACACGTAGCCCGCGAAAATTCGAAATCCGCGATACTTTTTGAACAAACCTCGTATGTCGTTATCATAGTCGTTTCAAAATGGGAAATACCAATTTATTATCGATAAAGTCGATAACGACAAGGGTAAAGGGCAGAGGTTTATTATACATAATTCATTCATTTTCGGCATCAAACTGTATTTTGCTAATCATGACATTATGTTGTTTGTTGAGATGTCTGAATCCGCAACTCATATCCACATAAGCTACATAAGAATATCAACCGGAATAACGGATATCATTATATTAAATATATATATGGTGGAAAGAGGAATGTATGTTTCGATTTCATCAATGTATCGATGTATTGAGTATAAATGTAAACAAGGGTTGAGTCAGCCATTGGAGCTTGTGATGCATGTACCTATGTATGTAAGTATGTATGATATCTATGTGCCTTAAACGTATTAGGGCGTGCAGTCACACCCACTTTTACAAATTTTAACCACACAACCACTGTCTTAATCTGAGCCTCAGCACAAAATTTGACTGCATTATATATTATTTCATTCAAAGCCATTTTGTGGACATGACAATTATACGATACACCTAAAAAACTATAATTACATGTTAAACTTGTTGCTAGAGTAAAGCAATCAATTACGTGCAATTACTTTCACGAACATTTAATTTCATCTTTGTACATATGTATATAATGCATGTACATATCTACGATTTTAAGTATGTACATTCAAGTAAATAGTCACATTTCAAAATATTGACGCAATATTTGTCCGATAACATTCATTTACAGCACCACCACTATCTCCTTTTGTTTTTGCATGAGAATATTAAAATTTAGTTTAAATAAGTTAAAACCCAGATCTGGCTTATCTAACTGTAAGTGGAATAAGGTAATTCTGAAAATTTGTATGACCAAGTCTATTAAATATAATAAAATACTTTATAATTATTATAATGAGTTATTTTTTATTTGATTAGTACTTATTTATACTCACTTCAATGAATTCTTATTCTTCGCAGTCTTGAATTTTATTTTATACATAAGCATGTACAAGTATATTAAAATTGTGTTTATTCTTTTAAAGTTTTCGGCAGGGAAATGGAAATCTTATAAAAATACAAATAAATATGATGGAAACTTTGCGATTTATGCAAGTGAACATTAAACCAAACTAGCAGCTAGATATATACACATACATATATACAAAACTTAAAACAACTTGTACAATTGTAAAATTATTTATGGATTCCAAAGTAGAAGTTTGTTTTTGTATGCACAAATTTATAAGGAGAACTTCTCCAACGTGGTGAAAACAAAAGACCAAACAAAATACTACCCGAAGGAAATATAGAGTTTTTAAAGCAAAAGCATACATATGTACGTATGTATATACTGTGTACATGTGTGTTAGATATGGCTAGACTTTAAATTAATTTTTTAAAAAACCTTTCATATACACGCATTTAATCAACTCGCGACATCATGAATTTGATTATAGCCTTAAATATGACGTTATTAGTTTAAACTTATTGGAAATCGGAAACTTTATATTTGTAGTTAACAACAGATTGATAATTTCTTATATTGTACCATATTATATATATTTTTAAGTTAAAAAGAACATGAAGATGGTTAGCAATTATTTCTAATATTTTATTTTGCAAACTTGTGTGAAGGCTTTAAATTAGTATTATATTATATTAAAAATTGTCCACTGAAAATATTGCTAAAATGAAAATGTCTAAAATTGCTCAAGTTGTTTCTTAAATTGAAAGCATTATAATACTTAATTTATTATCTCTTTTACGGTACAATTTACAAATTGCAACCTATGTTTATTTAAACAAGAAGAGAGAGAGATTTTTAATGGAGATATTTATCTTGATTTTGATCGGTCAGTTTGTATGACAGCTATATCCTATTGTCGTCCAATATCGGCAGTTCCAACAATTGAGCATCTTCTTTGGACCAAGTTGGTTGTTTGTATCATGTTGGATCATTAACAAATTACTAATGTGTATTGCGGTAGTGGACCAACTCATGTCTTTACACCCGATTATTGCAACTCGATCGTTGCTCGCACTTTAGCGATCGTAATGAATAATCACGAATCACACGTTTGAATTAAGATTGCTTATTTGTTTTTCTTAATGAATAACAATGTGATTATGAATCCTATTTGAGTGATAAATTTTAAGTCTTTGATTAAATGAAAACCATACCAATTTACGATTTTTGTTTTCAATAATAACATGCACATATGGTATATAAAATCAATGTAATATGTTTCAAATGTTTGCAATTAGTGACAAAAAGTTGTACCGAATATAGTATTCAGCTGGGATCTCTTTGATGTATGCAAAATTTGACAATATCTCAATTCTAATTGGACCACCTGTTTTATATGCAATTAATCTTATTTTGAAGTAATACTTGACATTGCAGTGTACATTTTATTCGCGTGCATGCATAAATCGTAATTTTCGCAGAGAAAAATAAAATGTAGCTATATTTTTGTATTTTACTGATTTTCGTCAAATAAATACTTTTTACACTTTAACGTTTATTTTTAAGCTTCTTATTTAGAGAAAATTTGTAATTAGGAACGTAGATAATATTGAATAATATTAATATTTAGAATTTCAATAAAAATGAAAATAAGTAATATGTGTGAGTACAAAAAGTATATGTATTTTCAAAATCTGGTAGGCTCACACTTTTCGTTCATATTCCATTTCTTAATCAAAAATTAAAACATACGGTATAGTGGTGCTTTCACTTCTAAATTATAAATTATAATAAATTACTTATCTAAAACGACATAATTGTATAAGGACACCAATTATGATAAACATAACTGTACAACTGGTTTAAACAAATGCCTAAATTTGTTCGAGTCGTAGCCGGGACCCAAATTTCTTATTATTTTAAAAATTCGAAAGCGATTTAAGCCCCGATCACATTATACTTATGTATGTCGTTCAATTGGATATACTTTGAGCGTTACTGTAGATTCAATAATGTTATTTAATTTGTGTTTTTTTTTAATTCGCCAGTTAAGTACATACACTCTGCTGGAATGCCTTGTACGATCTAACCAACATGTATACACATGTATAAACGTATACAATATGAACATAAATAATATCTGCAGTGAATAACTGTTCATTCCAAAATTCTGATCACTATACAAAAATACCCAGCTATATACTAAATCCACAAATTCGAGGAAATAATAACGTAATTCACATTTCATATTGATAAGAAGCCAAGGAAACTGGAAATATTTTTGCCAGCTAAAAAGCACCTAATCGAAAACAAATAATTGTGTTATTAATAACAAAATGTATCTTAATTGGAAAATAAAGTTCTAGCAATTATATATTCATGTAATAAGTATGGTGGATTTCCGCTCGTCGCACTTTTTAGAAATTTGTTTTGTGAGCCAAATGCTTTCATATCAAAATGATATAAAATCGCTCATTCTGCCACAAACAAGTTCCCATTAAATATATTTTTCAGATATAAAATTCCGTGGTGTAAAGCCAAGTTACCTTAAAATTAAATAAGGAAATCATAATCTGATATTATCCAAAATGACCATTATGAATTTCACAAATTAATCCAAAATGCAATGATAATAAATAACAAGCAAATACATACAAATTTATACTATATGAATTTAATTTAATTGGGCTCATTATATTTAATTAGTAAATTCAATCATCTGCACGAAGTCTAAGTACTACAGCAATGATTTCAATTATTAGAGTGTACTATATACAATAAAATCTATTGCTGAGATAGCAGTACTAAGTATTTTAATTTGAAATTCGTATCTAGCTACTTTTGGTTTTATTTGTTTTTGTGGTTAATTTGCAAAAGGTAAAAATATGAGCTAACAATATATGTTGGTGCACGTAAGTTTAAACAATAGTGATATTTTATGAATACACAAACATTATTTTGTAAGAATAAGTGCAGCATTTTCCTGCACAATTGTTGATAAGACTTCATATAGCATTTTTAAGTTACGCTTGCACCTTAACGAATGTGACTAAATATTGTATTTCTACATTAAATTTTCAGTTTTTAGAGATTTTAAATCATAAATTTTATATGCGAAATATTTAGTTTCTATTTTATACTCTTTTGTTAATTTTTCTTGTTTTTGATATTTAATCTATAAAAAATCTTTCCATGTCTCATATATACCTATAAAATTACAATTTTCTCTTGCTTTTCAAAAACTGCACATTTGGTTTCGGACAAATTTTACTACGTACATATAGTTATATCGTTTCTTATCGCCATGTCATGAATTAGTAAACAAATGTATACGCCAAAAATGCATATGATTTGTATGGGGACCTTATATACATTACACTCAAACAAGTATAAATATAATTTAATATATAACCATTTAGTTAAAAACTAAAAATCCACATCTTAAAGCTTTTTGGCACCCAATTTCATCGGGCCACTTGTACGTTGCGCTCGCCGCGCCTCCAACTCACGTTGCCTCTGCAATTTTTTCTCTTCGCGTTTTCTACGCGCCTCATCCAACTTGGTATTTCCTAAATATATAATTAATTAAATAATTTTGGATAAATGTTAATACAATGGTTTTATTTTCTTTACCCGTCAGCTGTTCATCAACAGGTTCGAATTCACCATCGGCCCATGAATCGCTATTCCAATTTGCATTAGAATTCGTTGAGTTATTTATGTGTGGTGGACTGATATTGTTGCAATTTGAAAATACCGTTGTTGTTGTCGTTTGTGTAATAGCTATATTTGAAATATCTTTTGGTCGCATGTCAAGTGCATGCTGATTTTGCCCCCTTGATGGCGATGGCGATGTCGCTGTGTGAGTGTTCAGTTTAGCTAATGGTTCGATAAGCTCATTCAATTGATGTTGCAGCAATTGTTGTTGATGTGGGCGTGCTGTTGGCGTACACATTTGCTTATCCACAGGAAGAGCTGATTGTCTCGTATGCAATGGCTGCGAATGTTCGTCTTGTTCTTCCTCTTCTTCTCCCTGTAATGTTTTGAGAGCTTTAAATTTTATTTTTTCAAACTCAACATTCTTAACTTACTGGTTCTTCTTCTAAACTGCCCCACTCCTCATTATCCCAACCATCACGCACTTCATTGAGTGCATTCGATGCATTCAATTGACCATTGTTAGAAGTGCCAGCCATTGGACTACTAGGGTCCTGTGATGTCTAACCGCAAATAATGGTATTTATTTAATAAATATTCATATATAATATCGATAGGATTTTCTTACGTCCATTTCGCCCCAATTTTCGTTATCCCAGTCGTTATTGCCATAATCTGATGCAGACGCTGATGTGTCGTTGCTTTCATGCTCTAGTGATGTCATAGATGTGACGCTGGATGTTGTCGTTGATAAGCTGCTACTCGAAGGTTGCTCTAAAAAAATCCACTATCTAAATCCATTTAATATTTAAAATAAATGTAAACACCATACCCAAAGATGCAGGTTTAGAGAGATTTCGCCCAGTTAAGGGCGGCCGCGGACGTGAAGAATCACTTTGGCTGCGGTAGAATTTAGCTGTAACTGCTGTAACAGCCCAGCCCGCCCATGTAGCTGCTGCATTTCCGATCGATGGCGTAGCAGTATGCACATCAGCTTCTAAAATTAAATATATTCAATATAATTTCATTATTGACATCTTAAAACATTTATTTTAACTTACCCATAGTTTCCCGTAGACTTGGGTCCTCTGATACTTTTTCCAATTTACCCAAAAAGCCACGTATCGTTTTGAAAGCTGGATCGCGCACAGTCTTTTCAGGATCAACAGTTAGAGAACACAAAGATGGGAGAACCCTGTTTGCCACTTCACTAATTAATTTGAATTTTTATAGAAATCAAAAAATTAGCTTCCATTATTTTCATGTTTGAAGTATGCATTACCTTAGCAGGAAGTATTGTTGTGTAGCAGCCAAAGCAAGTACGCCAGCTACTCGTGCTGGCGGAAAAGGATCGCGCATAGCCCTTATAAAAGCAGACACCAAAACACGCTGCCGCACCTGTGGATGTAGGTGTGGGGCGATTTTTCCCAAACACACAGTTGTATTGGTTCGTATGCCACCCTGATCATCGCGTGCTTGCAAACGCGCAAAATGTCGTAGCACCTCAACATTCAAATTATTGTAGTTTAACTTAGGGGCCAGATGAATGATAGACTAATATATATACATAATATGTACATTTAAATTCAAATTTCATTTATTTGAAATCAAATAATTATCTTTTTATCACCTTTACAGTTTGTTCTCTTATGGTAGCATTGGTATCCAAGAAGCCATGTGCGACTTGTGGAAAAATTTGATCATTCACTACCTGCGGTTGTAAATGTGCTATAAATAATTCTAATTGTTGTAATAATCGGGAACGCGTCACACGATCTGTAGAAGCAAAAAGCTTCACTACACAGGGAACTATGCGTTTTTGGTACTCAGCTTCATCAAGTAATTTTCCGAGTTTAAACATGGGTGCGAGCACAGCTGATCCTGCATCACCATATTCATATGCAGTGATAAGCTGAGGAAGTATTTTATGCCTGCAAAGTGCGAATATGGAATTTATTGAATGAGTAAAAAATATACATATATACATATCTACTTGCAAACGTTGTCGGGAAAACTGTCTAAATGCATAGTTAAACCACTAAAGAAACGATTTTTCTCAGCTTTGTCTTTGATTTGTATTTCCTCAAGGAAAAGTAGAGAATCAACTAAATCGTTCTTAAAGAAACCACCTGGTTTGCGACATCTCGTTATGATATCAGCTGGGTTGGGCCTATTTGAAGGCGATGCGCCTACCAATTCACAATAAAGAGTTTGCAACGACTTTGGTATATTATCTATGTCTTTAAGGTTTGAACGCATTTTTAGAGGTCCATTGAATGACTCCCAAACTAAACATCCCAATCCCCACATATCAACTGAGCTGAAAGTTAGGCATAATAATACTTTAGAATACCTTAAATTGTAACATTAATATAAAATTTCATACCATTTTGTAGCTGCTTTTAATTTGCTCTGGTCGTTCTTTTCCGGTGGATCATACACCTCTAAAGCGGGTGGCACTTTAAATGGTGGCATAGGATTCCCGTCCGCTGGCGACACATATTCCAAACTACCAAGTTTCCATTCACCAGACGAATTAACAAATACCGACCAAACGCAAACATTGTTGTGTCTTAGGTTACCATCGTTGTTAAGGAATGAAAGTGCGCGCTTGGTGGTTAAATATATTTTTCAAATAAAAGTTGTATCAATTAAATTCAAATATATGCTTACTGTGATTTGAAACACCCCCCATGCTAAATACAAATCTTTTTGAGTACCATGAGAGGCCAACTTCTCAATGTGAGTACCCAAAGCCTCAACTGCTTCAGTAGCAATATAAAGTGTTTTCTCCGTTTCAAATGAGTCCAGATACTGTAGAATGCTCGGGTGCCTTAAAGTCTTTAGCCGTTTCAATGCTCCCTTTGCTAATTCACATTTAGCATCTGAACCACTTCGTATATCATAAACAAATACCGAGACTTCTTCTTGCGTGCCCTTACGCTTTGCTTTGTGCAATGTCCAAATGGAGCGTGACTCTAAACCGGGTACTTGTTCACCAATATCATATGGAAAGTCTTTCGTCGAGTCGCGCGAGAAGAACGACCACATTTTTGATCGACGGCTGAATATTTTGTTGATGTTGTCGACGACAGTATGTCACACAAAAACAAATAAATATGAATTCTGCTTACAGGTGCTGTACAATAATCAAAAAACTATTTTCAGCAACTGTAAATGTGTTTTAAAAAAGTTAATAACGAATTTTGCCAATTAATATATGCCAGCTGTTCAGTCAGTACGCAACCTAAAGCTTTATTATTTGTTTCACAACCACCTCTCTCTTCCAAATAATAAGTAAAAAAAAGTTAGTTTTTTCCCAATTCACTCCGTTGTCCACCAAATTTTCCTTATTCTTTTTACTTTCACTTTTTATTTCTTCATACTTTGTTTTAGTTTTACACGCACCAATATAGAAACTTTAATATCACCTACAATTTTCCTGCAAACTTTTACATTAGTATTATGAGTTCTCGCACATATTTTCCATTATAGATAACTCTTGTTAAATAATTTATTTTATACTTTTAATATTCCTCAACTACTTTTTGGCAATTTAATGCATATTTATATCCCTTTACCAATAAATTTAACTTTTCTCCTGACGTAGCTATATGATTACTTTTTTTACTGCGAATGTTATCTGTTGACGTTTCCTATATTTACACACAGAGTTGTGTTTATTACGTAGATCGGGAAAAATTGTGCAATATATTCAGATATTCAGATGGTGTATTTAAATTAAATTGTTTAACTTACAAGAAAATTTAAATTTTTTTAATGAATTGTTCACATTAATATTAAGCGTTAAATAATATTTGATAAAAACACTTTACCATTTTAGATCTACCTAATTCTATGTAAATACGATAAAAATGAGTCTATTGATAAGAAATGTCAAAAATTGTCATTTACTATTGGCACATATGTTGTGATACGCTTCCATTGTATAGGCAATAGGCAATGGCTTTATTGGTTCATTAGGATCAAAAAGTTAAATTTCCAATTTAAAGAAATAGTACTAACGGTGTAATTGTGTAAATATGCAGAACGTTCAGGACTGGCGCGAACGTGGCACTGACGATGCCAATACCATTTCAATGCGCATTTGCCAGGAGGGACATGCCAATGCATTGGCGTTAAATAGAGAATGTAACCAAATAGCCGTCGCTGGCCGAAGTCGTAAGAAAAATAACTGACGATCTGATTAAAATGACTTAAGTTAAAAGATATTTTCATTTCAGTTTTAAAGGTGTATGCGATTTATAGTGATGGGTTTACAGAAGTTTGCAATATGCGCGGTGGTAAAAATCAAAATCTTAGTTACTCGTCTAACGATGTAGCATGGAGCTCCTTGGATAGTAATATATTGGCTACAGCTGCCACAAATGGTGTAGTATCCGTATGGGATCTCAGCCGCTTCGGACAAAAGAAACAGTTACACGTTTATAATGAGCATGAACGTACTGCACATACAGTTGGCTTTGACATTCACGATCCGCACATACTCGTATCTGGTTCCCAAGACGGTACTATTAAGCAATTCGACATACGCAATGAAAAGTCATCGTATACTTACTATAGTAATTCAGAATCTGTGCGTGATGTAAAATTTAGTCCACATATGCAATATGTAATATCGGCAGTTTCAGAAAATGGGACCGTCCAATTGTGGGACCTCCGAAAGTAAGAAGTATTTTATTTTGAACATGAATATGTATTGAAAATATTTTTTAGAGGCGACAAAAGTATTCTACAGTTCACAGCCCATAGCGGACCTGTTTATACTTGTGATTGGCATCCTACCAAAAATTGGCTGGCCACCGGAAGTCGTGATAAACAAATAAAAGTAGGTATGAATTATTATTTAATTATATTACACTTTTTGTTTACCTCTTTCAATTAAGATTTGGAATATGGATGGGAAAGCTTCGTTGGAACATACAATTCATACCATAGCAGTCGTGGGCAGGGTAAAGTGGCGGCCTGATCGAACGTAAGGAAAATGATTCAACTTTTATAATTTTTCCAAATCCTTGATAACTTTATATTTGTTTAAATTCAGTTATCACATAGCAAGTTGTGCATTAGTTGTCGATTATAGCATTCATATTTGGGATATTCGACGGCCATACATACCATTTGCCTCCTTCAATGATCATACGAACGTTACTACAGGCATCGCTTGGAAGGGGGACAATTCTCAGATCTTACTTTCAACCAGCAAAGACTCTACTATTTATAGACATGTATTTAAAGATGCCATTCGCCCGGCATTAAAAGCAAATGTACAAGGTGCAAGTTTGGGTCATCGTGGAGATATTTCTTTCGCGCGGAAAATTAAGTTAACTTCTACTGAGACTATTACACAAGGATCTAAAATAAATTCATTTGTGTAAGGAAGCTTGAAAAAAATAAATGTATATTGAATTGAATTTGTTTTATATTTGCAGCAATCGGCGACGGCCCACAAATACTGATGAGCAATTCCATTTAGCTCAATCAGATGTTTGCCAGTTTATTCTTAAGCCATCGGTAAAAAGAAAAACCAACAAGAACAAGAACAAGAATCAACTTTTGTAATTTTTTCTTCAGTACACTGGATATTCAGTTGAGGAGGAAGTTACACATTTAAAGGAACATGAATGCTTCATAGGTTGTGCTAAAGAGCTAATTTTGAGCGGTAGAAAGTTGACAGATATGTGTGAACACAATGCAATTGTTACAAAAAAATACGGAAAGCACAATGTAAGTCCAAAATGTTCACCCACTTGTAAATTGTAATATAATTTCATCCCACACAATATATAGGCAACCACATTGTGGACCTTTATAAGGGTTTTATATGGTTCGAGTGAATTCAGTAAACAAAAATACGATATACATCGCAACTCTTTTTCTAATCAAAAAAGTGTGCAATCCTTACGTCGCCCCGCACAAATAGCAAACGTTCATGAAGCGCTTCAGTGGGATAGTAACCCAAATAATGACATTGCCAGTAATGACGACAGTGTAGATAATGTTATGCATCTGGATATCGATTCGTCTAACGGTATTGTGGGCGTAGGTTTGGGGAGCATTAAACAAAATTATCCCCCATTCGGTTCTGTAATTCTCTCTGAAACTCAAATACTTAATGAAATAACATTTGACAATTTTGATCTACTACGGGAAGGCTTCATATACGTCGGACCACCAGACTTCTCAAAAATGCATTCCCACCAAGAAACCGCATTGCATCATGACGTACAAGCGGCACGTCCACAATTAGATTTAAAACCTGAATCCAAGGATAATCCAACTGTAAATTACTATTTTACATATATTTATAATTGAACAAATAAATATGTATGTGTGCATGTTATGTGTACTTATAGGCGTGCAACATGCCTAGTATTCTCAAGGTAAATACGACGCCCGCCATACCTATTTGGGAGCCACATCAATTTGTTGCGGAATCGATAATGTTGCAAGGAGATGTTGGCGATGTGCAAACAAGTATTTCAATAATGATCGCTATGGGTGAGGCACGAAAATTTCTCCAAATCGATGATGCACTCGTTGTAAGTATGCCTTCTCAAGTCTATGAGGGATTGTGAGACAAGTAAGAATCCATCTACCTATAGGAAACATGGTTTCAAACATATATCGATCAACTTCATCGCTATCAACTATGGAATGAGGCATGTAAAGTAATGAATCTTTCATGGCTTCGTCCAGTTCGCGAACTGAATCAACAATCCACCTCAGTGCACACAAATTGTGGTGAATGCGGGCGACCTTTGGGCAGCAGTGTGGGATGGTACTGTCAGAAATGCAAATCAATGCAGTCATCAAAGTGCTCTGTTTGTGGTCTCATCGTGCGGGGACTTTATGCGTGGTGTCAAGGATGCTCCCATGGTGGTCATTTAGAACACATTATGGATTATTTTGGTAATCACTTTAAATGCCCGAAATGTGGTCACTTATGCGAATACAATTAGTATTTTCGAATGAGAATAACTGCTTTACTTACAAGTTCGTAATAATAAAAAATAAATAAATCACAAATACCGAATTTTTAATTTATAATTTCGTATTCATATATGTATATGTATATGCCAACATTTCAACAATAGCTAACTGAAACTCCTTAGCCGTTCACTGGTTACACTACCTATTTTATAAACGTACTTTTAAATGGTAATATAACCACTACCTTTCAATTTCAGCCATGTTTGCAAGTAAAAATTAAAACCAAATCATATGGTTAAACTAAATGTACAAACAATGTACACATTAACGTAAATAAAATTTAAAACAATTAAAAAAACTACTATTCTAATGTATGCCTTTTCTGATGCTACTATTTGTATAAGTATGCATAAAACATCAGTTGCAAGGCACCACCGCCTACCAGCACCGCTATCAAAGCGCTTCAAAAATGCTTACAATGTTCCCCTCATCTCCGGAGCGCTTTGCAATAAATTAGAAATTTTTAAAGCTTACAACAAAAAAGAAAATGTTAACTGTGAAACACATATGTCCATATTAATGGATAGCCGAAAACAATTAGTATTTGAAGTTATTTACAATTTGATTCGTTTCAATTTAGGATAGCTTTTTCTAATCCCCAATCATACTTTATTTTCGGCTATTATTAAGAATCACTATGTTTAATGATGTTACAACAGTTTTCTCAATATTTTTCTTTTATACTAAATGTTGTAAGTAATTACAATTTCGATTTAAGAGCGGTACTGGTGGCTAATTGTCAAGAAGAAAAATCGAGGCTCACAGTTTGGTTGACGGCGTTAGCATCGGTAGCATCTAACATAGTATTGTTATGTCGCACTGCAAACGGTTCCTCATCGTAGCGTATTGTCATGGAATTAGCATTTCCGGGAATTAGAGCATAGCCAAGAGACTCGTAGAATTTAATTAGCTTGTCCTTGCAGTCTAGCGACATTTTATAACAGCCGATGTGTTGAGCCAATAGACTAACAGTTACCACAATACTATGCAGTAAATTGTTAAAAAGAAATTTTTCGAATAATAGTATGTTCATTTAAAAAAATTACGCTTCCAAGATACTCACAGTTTACCCAATTGCTTGCCGCGGTAATTGTCATTAACAACAACGTCCTCCAAACGTCCACGCTGTAAATAACAATAAGAATGGTCAAAGGACATAGACATACATTAATTAGTTTTCATCTTACAATTGCACAATTGTGTATGAATTTCCGTTCGATAATTAAAGAAGCTGCCCCGATAATTTCATTTTTTCGGGTATCCTCGATCACTGTAACGTAGTAATCGCCACTGGCTTTCATCTGGGAGAACCTTGCTATTGAATAGACACATTTATTCAATTTCATCAGCTATAGTTTCAACATAATATAATAATTACATATTTTTTTTAATAATACATACTTAAAAATTGTGTCCGAGTTACATGACCTACATCGGTCAGTTGTGAAAGCAGTTGCAGAAATCCACGGTCGTAGTCACCATCTTTAAGTGGTCGTACCTTAAGCCAATTTTCACCTGGATATGCGGCTGATATGAATGGTTCGAATTTGGCCGGACTTTGATGGAAGTTTAGTTTCAGCAAAATGTTTGGGTCATAAAGGTAAGTTTCTTGCTATAATGAATTCGTTACGATATAACTCAATGCATGTGTTTGAATTATTATAAAGACTAACAATTCTTGCTTATTTTTATATATTTAAATTATAAATCTAACTCTTTAATTGTTTAATCTTACGAAACGATATAAAATGCCACGTAATAATATTATATATGTATGTATATGTACATTTTTCCGATCATCTTTCTGAAATTATAAACTTTAGCAAGAGTACCTGTTTTTTATACTTTTTATTATGCTTTAAATTAACTTTTACTTTAAGCATTCCCTTGATATTTACTCGTACCTCACTGCAGCGAACCATCTTATCTCATACGCAATTGAGACAACTTCCGCAAACACAAAAAATTGATGCCTTCTCTTACTAATTCTTCTAAGTTGCCAACACAGCAGATGTTTGTTAGGTTAATGAAGTTAAAGCCTCTTAAGGTGTCACAAGCTACTAAAAATGAACTTGCGTAGAATTTGGTACACTGAAATCAGGTTTTGCAACTAAAACCTACGTCAACATTATTTACTCCAAGTATTGTGTCAAAAACAAATTGTTTTTAGTATCACTAGTCCAGCATGTTGTGCAAGCATAAATTGCCTACAGAAATTCAACCGGTTTTCTCACCAAAAGGGCAATTTTTAATCTGTAGAGGACAGTAGTAATTTTGAACCAACGACTAAATATATACATATGTATGTACATACGTATGTATATATGTATATGTTAGTATTCTTTTTTATTTACGTTATGGAACCTTTTTCCTAATTAACATGTATAATTACGTTAAAATTGGACATATTGCTTCTTTGTAGCACAAATTTTTACGCAATGAACTTATTTCGTTGGAAATTCCGTTAAAGTCGATCGAATGTTGGCCTAGGAGCCAACTTTTTTCAAAAGCCCATGGCAATGTTATCCCTGACGGTAATTGCTCTGTTTATACTACTCACAGTGAAGGCGTAAACCTCTCCTTAAAAGCTGCATCCAAGTGGGTGCCAAATTCAAAGGTATGTTCATGTATTCATGGCATATATAAAATAGTTACCATGTTGTTGTTTTTATCCGAATGTAGAGCACAGCAACGTCTATATTTCCACGTGGCCTTCAGTTTAACAAAATAAAAAACAATTACTTAAACATCCACTCGCCGCTAAGCAACTAAAAGATTTATGTTTGTTCTGCTTCGCAAATGTTTATCACAGTAAAGCAGTTAATTGAAAAAATAGTGACCAATAAGAATTTTTATGTAATGCAAAACTGAAAGTGTAAACAATCACTCAGGGTTGATTTTTAGCGTGTGTAAATTTTACTTCCACTACTTTTTAACTTAACTAAGTTTATAAAATAAATTAAATCGCTTTCAAAACTTATTTATTTTAATATTAATTATTTTCTTTACAAATTACATAACAACCAAGGTTTGTTGTGCCTTAAAAACAACTTTTTATGTGATTCCAAATGTGTTTAAGTCGCGACAATGTACTTATCAGCTTTATACATTTCATAAGCAAATTCCTCGCGGTGATTAGGATCGAATTCCAAACCTATATACTCAATTTCCAATTGAAAGGGACCATCCATATTATTTTTTGCTCCTACTGAGAATCCAAAATGTGTTACACGATCTAAACGAATTGGTCCTTGCCTGTCTTGTATTCGGCCTTTCGATGAGAGGAAGAATTTTGAAAATGGGATCTGCATAGAATTTAATTAATCTGCGAACCACGTCTTTTTACATATTAGCATATTACCTTAACTAATTGCCAATGAGGCCCACCTCTAGTAAAAAGCACATAATGATATACGTCATTCCATTGTAAATCAAAATAGCCTTCCGTGTGAAGATTAATAAGGTAGCTACGTCCGTCTCCACGTATTTTCATTACGAGAGTATTATATTGCGTCCAATCATATGTTGATTCTCGCTTGAAAGACCGCTGCAGGAAATCATATACATATATTTATGTTTGGGTTAATAATATAAGTATGACAACTTTTACTGAAATATCAAACCATTGGTCTAAAAGGTTATTATATTTGGTTAAAATCACACAATTGTGTACACTTTTTAAAATTTCCAAAGTACATACAATGAATATTGAATATAATATAATTGATATGTATTCGTTTATATTGTCTTACCCGCGCTCGTTTTGTTCGGATATTCGCATATCCGGTTCGCTTTACAATACCATCTCTTACATGTTCGGAATTGACATTACCATGAAACAGCCCAGCTCCTGCTGAGCTCATTTCCAGCTTTGCTGTACTTTTGCCTTCTCGGTGATCAGCGTCCGTTGTCACGACCCATGTATCAAAGGCACTTTCATTTTTAAAATTGAATACCACATCCGTTTCACCAGGGCGGTAAACAAGTATTGGATCGCAATCTAATTTTTCCTTCATTTCATCTTTCCATAGTTGTATCTCTTTTTTTAGTTCACGAAATCCTTCCACAATTAGATCCTTTCTGGAAGGCAGTGTAACATTACTTTTATAACCCGATTTCTTCTCTTTTTCCCAAAACGTTGTACGGATGGCCGTAGTGTGTATGAGACAAGGAGCAATAACTTCGGGAATATGAAGTATCCTACTGGTACCCTGACTTATACACAATCTAAGCACATTCATAGTTTATCCCTAATTTGGTAATTTCTAATAAAACAAAACTTTGAAAATCACTTTATGATTACTATAAATTCTTTCACACGTCAAAATCAGCTGTTACCTCGCAATAAACAATTGACATTTCATTATAAAAATGTATATGAAATAAAATAAAAACAAAACAAGAAACAGATTTGATATTGAATGATCAAAGTGCGTTGGTAAAATATAAAGCTAAGGAGCCGAAAAATTTTAAAACAATGTCTGTGGACGATGTTGAAAAGTGTGTTGCACCAGGACAAAGTAGCCAATGGAACTCACTGTATGTACTTTTAGGCGTGATTTTAATGCCAGTTGCTTTGCCTTTTGTATTAATGGAATGTTTTTATCGACTCCGAGTTAAAAGGTACCGAAATGAATTAGCTGAAAAGGTATGTATGTGTTTAAAATTGGTTACATATTATTATAAGTATAAATACATACGTTATAGGTAGTGTTGATAACTGGTGCCAGCTCTGGTTTGGGAGAATCTTTGGCCCATACATTTTACAAAGCCGGCTGTAAATTAATTTTGGCAGCTAGGCGAGTTGAGGAACTGGAACGGGTAAAAAAGGAATTATTAGGTTTAGATGTGGTAAATGCTTTCGTTCATCATAAGATTTAAGTACACACTTTAAATTTACTGTAATCCTGTATCCTTAACAATAGGGCACCGTTACATTTCCACCGGTTATCTTGCCTTTAGATTTGGCCGAGTTAAAAGATGTTCCCACTTTCGCCCAAAAAACACTAGAAGTTCATAACCAAATTGATATACTAGTTAACAATGGTGGTATAAGCGTTCGAGCTACAGCTATTTCCTCTACTGTGGATATTGATTTGAAATTGATGGTCGTCAATTACTTCGGCTCGGTAGCGTTGACTAAAGGTAACTTAATCATAAATTAAATATTTTTGTTTGTACGATATTTTTAAGTAAAAAAGTAGCTTTATTACCATCGATGTTAAAGCGGAAAAGTGGGCATATTTGTTTTATAAGTTCAGTACAAGGTAAATTTGCTCTACCTTATCGTTCCGCGTATTCTGCTTCCAAACATGCTTTGCAAGCGTTTTCCGACTCCTTACGTTCAGAAGTAGCTAACAAGGGAGTACAGGTGACATGTATAAGTCCAGGATATATACGCACACAGCTGTCTATGAATGCACTAACAGGTAGTGGAGAAACGTATGGAAGTGAGTAAACCCAATAATTATTAATTTAAAGCGCTAATACAATATTTCGGTAGAAATGGATAAAACAACGAATTCAGGAATGCGACCAGAAAAAGTAGCTAATCGTATTTTAAATGCAATTGTATGCAAAGAAAAAGATGTAATGATCTCAGATTTACAAACGAAATTCGCATATTACGTTCGATATATATGGCCATCGTTGTATTTCTGGATAATTGAAAAGCGTGCAAGGAGACTGGAAAGAGAGGAAACTGCTGAGCAAAAGAAAGAAAAATGAGCAACCCGTTTCCTAATTGTCGCATCTTTGTGTCGGATAATATCACACCACAAAAAAGAGGGGCAAACTATATGAAAAAAGTTTAAATAAGCGCCATTTATGTTTATGTGTAAAATACATTTTACAATATAAAATATAACAACTTTACTAAATACAATTGAACCATATTTAAATTAAACCATTTAATAATCACATATACACGAATCAGTTATACAATTTGAAAAGCTCAATTTTCCTTAAATAACTATATAAAATAATTACCACATAAAGTCGGTATTCAAGTTCTTGAATTAAATAATATAGTACAAATGATTATAAAATATTTTTCTTATGTAAGTAAAAGTTTAATAATTTACCGTACTCCAGCTGTAATCGCATGTTGTAAAATTTAAACTATTATTTACTTTTTTTTAATAGTATTTTGCTAAATTTATAAGGCGCTGTAGCCTTGGCAGCTAACAAAGCTTTATATTAATGTTTTGAGTTGGCCATAATAATTATGGCGTACTATGTGTTCTTCGATTCTTTTCTAAGTATTTTAAACGTATTTTTGTTTAAGATATAGCTCAAAGCAGCAGCTACAGTTGTAGCTCCAGTTAAATACCAAAGCCCAAACAACGCGGGGTGGTCTGCAATAAGTTTTTTTTTTTTTTTATCAAATTAAAATTAAACATTTATAACCATACAAATCTTACCGATGTAGTTCCATATAGGAGCTCCCAAGCTTATACCAATTGTCGCTAATTGTACACCAGTATTGATTTTGCTAATAAGTGTAGGCTCTAATTGTGCTGTTACATATGTCGCATCAAAATAACGAGTAAATGTTTTCTATATGATAAAATAGTTTTTAAGTGAATACTATGTTTCTAGGAATACTTGTGCTTATATGTATACTAAACTAACCGGTGGTGGTAAACTAATGTAGCGTATGACAAAACCAGCTGCAAGTAAGAAGACATCTCGAAATAGAACAGTACCGGTTAACCACCAAGGTAATAACTTTCCAAGTCCCATAGAAATAACTAACGATCCAATAAGTAGTTTATCTGCCATAGGGTCTAGGAACGAACCTGCTTTACTTGCTTGATTAGGCCACCTTCTCGCTATTTGTCCATCTAACTTAAAAATTCAAATGCGTTCTACATTTAATATGTTACTAAATTTTTCATTATACACATTTACTAAATCTGTTATGCCCGCTACTAATAGTAACCCCATTGCCAGTCCATAATCCTGTTGCACTATGACGTATCCAATGTAAGGTGATAAAATTGCTCTCCCTACTGTTAACATATTTGGTATGGTTAGCACATTTTCCCGTTCAATAACCTCCTCCATTCTTTCCCGTACACGCTCCTGCACTTTGTGAATATCCTCCACGAACACATTTTTACGTTCTATAAAAATTTCTCTTTTTTTTTCTATTACATCTTGAAGTAGATGACGGCCTTGTAACGTTCTCAAATGCAAAGACTTTTTTTTTGAATCGGCATACTGACGAAGTCTTGCTATATCCCAGTTTCGATGTTGGTTAAAGTCAAGAAACGAGATGCGTATGAATCCTGTTGCTGCGGCGTAACGATTTAAACAGTTAACACCATTTGCGGGTGGTCCAGCTGTACTTAAACCTATTACTACATCCGTAAGGTTTTTACTTAGGCCATTTCGGGTGCATTGCACCTGTCGGAATATTGTTGCTGGTAACATTTTGCAAATCAGTATTTATCCGTACGTTAAATTGACAAAGGTCTGAAAAATGTGTGTATATATCTTAATTGCAGACCTAAAAAATGATAAATACAGTGTATATTCCAATTTAAAGTAAATTTAGATATAATTAAACACAATACAAAATGTTACGTTGCGCCCGGCACGTAATCTGACGTTAAATATCATGATTGCCTTTTGTACACTCACCATTATTTAACAATACCCCATTCTACATCATGCTTTTCTATAAAATTCCATAATTTTTTTGAAATACAAAATTTACTTTCTGTTAAATAAACAAAAATACTCAGAATTGGTGAAATTAGACAAAACGGGAATCTACCAATGTGATTTGGATAATTTTATTTTTTCTACTCCAAATTTTCGCGATCTTTGCGTAATTGGACATTTTCTTTTAAATATAAAACAGGGTTGCATGGCCACCTATTGTATTATTATTACGGCTGATTCACATACAACTTTTCTCGCTTTACACAGCTCGCTGACAGCTATACTGAAACAACGAAGCGCAGAAAACAAAGGGTATGCTACAATGAACGCTTTGCATTCCGTGCTTTGTTCTAATTCAAATGGCGATTGTAACTTGCCAAAGCGTAAAACGATGAAAATTGCCCAACTTATTGTCTATCTTTGTATCGAAAACTTTTTATGTGAACGTACTTATACAAAACCGTACATCGATTTTCTGTTAAAACAAATGTCTGACGCGAAGCGAAGCAAAAGTTCTATGTGAATTGGAATTGTGAAAACTTTTTATGTAAACGAACTTACACAAAAGTATATTTCGAACTTACATGTCAAAGGAAAGGGCTGAAGCCAAGCAAACCTGAAGCAGAATATTTTCCTCGCTTTGGAAATACATATTCAGACCAGGACTTTTTTGCCGCACAAACCGGTTTTTATATAACACATTTACATTACATTCGTCCACCCTGACGGTTTTTGAGATAGAGCAATTTCTAATTTTATCGCCGACCGCGGCGGCAAAAACGGCATCACCATATCAAAGAAAGGTTATTTTCAGTAAAAATCTTAAGAACTTTCAAAAAAATTTAAGAAAATGTTTGCGTTGGCAATATTTAGATTGTTTATGTTTTTTTTCGTCATTTATTGTGATATTTTTGAGCACGAAATACACACTAGCTTCGACGAAAATCGTCCGTATTGGGTTTTACACGGCGGCAGCGCTCGGCGAAAATTAGTCCGACGACGTAGCTGAGTACGACGAATATTCGTCGTCGCCCGAATTGTGTTTAAGCTATTATGATCGGAAATTTTAATGTTGTTTTATGCAAATGTATGTAATATTCAAATGTGCATAATATAATAGAAATGTGTTAGAACGGGGGGAATAGGGAAAAAAGTTAGGTAATCAAAAGTATGTTTATTTAGGCGCACAAGAAGCGTAAAAGAATTTTAGAATGTAATATGAAAAAAATGCAGAAAAATGTTCGAATCAATTTGTCGGCCTCGTGTCGCTCGTGTTAACGTAATGAATCAAAGAGTCCTTAACGTAGTCTTACACTACACTACTCTAAAAAGAAATCAAGAAATTGACAGCACCTTAAAAGCGAATGTAGCATTAAAAAATATTTCCGCGGAAAGCAAAAAAGGAATTTATCTATGGGAAAAACATATACATACATATGTACATGTATGTAATGAGGGAATAATTAAAATAAAATTTAATAAAATGTATTATACAATTTAAAAAAAGAGTAATCATGTAAATACACACAGTTGCAAAATGTTTACGGCGGCATGCTGTTGTTAATTAGTTGCACGCAGCTGTATATAAACATATGTTTGTATGTATCTGTCGGATAGGATTTAAATTTAAGCAAAATATGTATGTTGCAAAATAGGACTGCGCTATACAAACAAGACCACAGATAACATTGAGTTATATAGTCCAATGTGGGAACTCAAAACGCAAATTTTTTACCTGTTTCCATAAACATTCTCTGTCGCTACTCTCCAACAGCTCATATCTGCAATCTAATCATACCTTTCCCATAGTTTGACCACGCCGAAACAGACCGATTAGACATTCAAAACTCTAACCATTTACCTGCAGCATTTTATGTATGGTACAAGTATATCATTATATCATACATAATTGGAACTATTTATTATTTAATCAACCAATTCATTTAAATTTCTATGACAATACATACTAGCATTTGTATAATTTTAACAGGTATGAACAATAGTTAACAATTTCTGCTAAGTAAAGGCTAGCAAATTTTCGTCAACCCATTCGCTTTGGATTACTCGTATTATAGATACGAATAGCTCTAACAATCGCAAGCTTTTTAATCCTCTAATAAAGCAATATTAGATATTTAGAATTGCTTTAAATCACAATAGCATAGATTGTTAATGAATAAATTAATCGTGTCTCTCTGTTTCGTAACCGAAGTTACTAAATAATACTTATACAATTTTATAAAGCATATCTAAATTACCGTTTCGAGTAATAATGTGCAACAGAGCAAAATATATTCTAGACAGAGAAATACGATTTATGCAATATGCAGTTAAGTTAAGATAATTATTGCATAGAACTTTTAAACTAGCATTTTAACATATTTTATGTTTTAAAATCTTATAGTTCTTTAATTTTTACATTTTAATACTTAAAGGTAAGTTTACATATACATATGTATCTTAGTAGATATAATTTGTAACTCTTTATTTTAATATTAAATACTAATATTCGGGAGACCAATCTGGGCCCTGGATTTGAGAGGCTACATCATTAATGTATGGTATAATGAAATTATAAATTCGGAATGCACATATTGTATATATGTACTTACATACATATGCATACACAAATTATACTGAAATCATGTTACAACATAACACGTTTATTTTATAATTTTAGTTAATATGCAAAAGATTTAGTGTTTCAAATTATTAGAAAATACATACATACATGGACGATGGAGCTGGACGGAGAACTTTTCCAGCCAAGAAATTAATCAACATTATTTGTAAATAATAAATATAGATCTGACAAACCCGAATTAAAATTATCTGAGGAAAACTAATTATTTTTATGTGGGGTGAATCAAACCCTGAATATTTTTTATTTTTTTCATACATATCTACATCTACAATTACATATGTTCGTCGATATATGGTATGTTTTGTATATTTTATATTTTATTTATTGCTGCTTTGGAAATTGTTAAATATATACATATATACATATATGGTATATATATATTAAATAATATTATATATATGTATATATATATATATATATATATATATAATAAATTTTGGTAGTTATTTACTTAAAATGTAATACCACAGTTGTAGAGTAAGTTTCAAATGAATTTCGTAAAATCCATAAACACAAACGCATGTTTTCTCATTTGTATTTATGCGATGTAAGAAATTATTTCACTTTTTCATTTGTTTATTAGCGGTCATTCGTTCTCCATAAGTAACATGTTTCTTATTAGAGATAATAATTGAGGTACAATCGTATACGAGTATATGTGAATTAAAGTCTCTCTCTTATATGAGCGATGATAAAATATTCTTCATTGATTAACATGTCTGTCATATGTATATTTTTAATTTACATGCTCTGTGAGTGCACTTTTAGACAGGGACTCAAAAGAGTCTCATTTTTTTCAAATTTTCTTTTGGTGTCGCTCTGTGCATTCACACGGTCAAAAAGAGTCCAGCAACTCGAGTCTAGTTTTTCTGCATTCCTTTTCACAAAATTTTCGTAAATATTTGTGCGGTTCGACTGCGCAACACTGCGTGCTGCGTATTTAATTTGTATGTTGAGATGATGGTCACACATTTTGCTTGCATGAATATGGTAGAACAATATGCATAATACAAGTACCTACCCGCTAAATAGTTTCATAGAAATACTAAAGACGGGAATTCTCTAATCCACAAGAATGTATTGAATATCCGCTACTAATATTTTCAAGGCCAAATTTGTAATAGGAATTTCCTAATCTTTAAGTATTAAAAACTCATAATTTCTTTACTCCATAATCTATATCTTAATTTTCTCCTTATTTACAATTTGTCATAATATTTCTATTATTCTATGCATACATATTTGCATATTACATACAAAAATAGATAACAGAACTCAAATTTGCGATCGAATTCATTTGAAACCGAGCGCTCTTGCAACCATTCAAAGAATTTGAAAGTGAAAAGGTATGCTGAAAGAGGTAGCAGCTAGCTGTTACGAACAAGAACACAAAGCGTGCCACCCGAACACGAGTGGCACGGTCCCTTCGTCTTTCCTCGTCGTCCCCTCGCCCACAATAAACTGGTTTGAGACTCTTTTGAGTCCCTGTGTAAAAGTGCACTAATTCACATACAAGTTACATTCAAATATTTGTATGAAAGAAAATGGAGATTATATGACAAATAATATACGTGTTTATATTATATAACGTTGAACCATTTTTTGTTTACATAAATACATTAGTTGAACATTGAATAATGACACATTAAAAGAAAATTACATTATTAACAGAGGTAATAGTTGAAAATATTCAATGTAACTTCAATAATATTCAAACTTGGGAATTAGTAATCATGATTTAATTATATATAAGTGTGAAGGTTTTGTTAATTTGAAACATACTTCTTTTTACGAAATAATTTTTTAATTCACAATATTCAAAAAACTTTTTTGGCTTTTCTCATGAATTTCTTGTTTACATTTTGATGATTTCAGTTATCACACAAAAAAAATCCATTTTCATTGGCTGGAATGTTTGAAATTTTTATTTTTGAATCATAAAAACAGAACAAAACGGATGATTTTGATATTATGAGTTGACAAATTTTGGTATTTGGGCTATCGATACACTCCCATAATTGATTTAGATTTATGAATACCTCCCCTAAATTTAAAAATTTCAATAATTTGCAACTCGTAAGCCAATAAATTGTTAAGCAAACAGCCTTACAGGGTCCGGGTACAGATCTAAAGCCCGAAACTTGCCGAAGAAATTATTCAGATCGGAGCTTTATAACATAAAGCTGTCATACAAACTGAACTATTAAACTCAAGTTCTTGTAAGGAATCTTTGGTGTTTGTGAAGGGTATTATAGCTTTGTTGCAACCGAAATTAACGTTTTTTCTTGTTTATTTTAATATCGATTATTTATAATACTATATATTATATGAGTGAAAAATCCCAATACTACTGCAAACTCTTTACTTATGAATTAACCATATATCAAAGAAGATATTCTGCACAAATAGTTTTGATCACTCAAACGTAGCTAAGAAAATAGAAAGAAATTAAATTTGAGTTAAGAAACCCTACTAACAATAATGATATTTTTAAAAATAAAGAGTGTTTATATTACACGTTTACTCCAACTATAAATTCTTATTGAAATTCATAAAAAATATGGAAGTATAATAATTTTCCACCTTTCTTTAACTTTATTTACACAGCATAGATTTGTGGGTTTAGTTTTGGCGGATACTGTATAACTGAATAATTTTTAACAAATATCACTTGCTGCATCGATGGAAACTTGGTAAACACATGAATTACATATTCAGAGACTTTTTATATTATTATAATTATAGTTGTATTGAAACAAATAACTGTATAATATGTGATATTTAAGAGGTCATAGTTCTACATTTGAGGTAAAAGTATCCATTAGTATGGCGGTGTTATTTGCAGGAGCATTGCAATTCGTTGCCGACATCCATTCAAAGTCTTTTATTGTTGCCTATTTAAAAAGAAACGAAATGCGTCATTACTAAGTATGAATTTTTGAATTAAGTTAAATTTACTTTATGCATAGAGTACACCGCAACTACCACCAGCACATGCATAATATTATGAGAATTTAAATAGAAATCCACAACGCCAGGAAACCACTTCTCCGGTATACGCAAAGCGCCTATTGCACCACCCAATATAGATACGCCATCCTATTGGACAGAAAACATAAAATGTACTTCAAACTAGGTTAGATGAAAAGGCTTAAAATAACAAATATCGGGTGAATTCTTTAGGTGTGAATAGCTAAAAAACATAAAATGAAATTAATTGGAGTTTCAGGTTATTTTTGAAAGTTTTCTCATTTATGTAGGATAATTAATATGAGTTCAGTAACACTTCTTTTTTATAGGTTTTATAAAACCTCTTCCATTGCACAAAAAGATTATTACAAGTAGCAAATTTGCAGAAAATTTTCAGTCCAAAAGGTGAAAAATTGATTTGTATCACAATATAAAAACATGATAACAGCTAGGTAGCTAGACCCTTGCCCTCCAATAATACATTTCATTAATATATTATATTTATATAATATGTCAAATATGCATGAATGTATAACTATAAGAGCGCTTTTAAAATTCAATAAAAAACGAAACTATTCAAACGCCGGGAATAAATACAAAATTCAAAATTAACTAACTAAATTTGCGCCAATTAAAATATAAATAATTAACATTTTTACAATGATTATCACTCACTGCTTCTAACTGGAATTTGGTTAATTTTTGTAATGTTTTGTTAGCATATATAGGTAAGAAAAGTAGAAGCACAGAAACACAATTTTTCATATCAGTGATTTAGTAATGAATATAGTTGTTATTGAGACACATTAAAAGTATTAGCTGGACGCTTTATAAAAGAATTATTTCTTTCTATACGTTTCTTTTTCTACATCCGACACTCACCTGGAGGTAAACGTGTGAAAGTGCTATCCGGCTTCCCCCAACCCATACATCCATAGTTCGAAATAGTGTCAATATTGAACGCATAGTGAAAGGCAGAGCGAAGCAAAGGCGACGTTGCCAAGGGGAACTTGCCGTTAGAGCCTGGAAGTTGTAGATTAAATGCATATTTAATGCGGTCAAACATAGAAAACTCCGTTTTAATAAAAATACAATATTGTACTAATTATAAAATTATACTACATACATATATCCGAATATATATTATATAATTTTCCTTACATCCAAACTGCAGATAACACAAGTATACTCACTTTATAAAGACCCCAAAGTGACAACAAACAGTAGGATAATATGATAAACCATTTCAAAAAAGGACTAAAGCAAAACGTGGTTGCCGTGACGAGTGGTAAAGCACCTGCAATTAAAAAATTTTTTAACATAATTAAAAACTGGATTTTTATTAAAGTAGCAAAAGGAAAGGACATTAATGCGTTTCTTTATATATGTAAAATATTTTTATATACATATATATTCGTATGGGATTTTACCTGATAAAAATGTTAGTTTCAATAAAAATTTAGGACGAACAATTTTGAAGTTACTTATAATCCCGAAGAATATACAAAAATATTACAAAAAAGTACATAACATCAACGAAATATACATACATGAAACAAAAGCTGTAGCTTTATGGAATCCTTAAAGGTAAGAACACTCAAATACCAACATATCTAAGCAAAACTGACCCGGACTGGCATCACATATTTTAAAACAAATCTTTATTATCGCCTTCAAAATGGTCTCATTCACTTGTTATAAGTCTCGGCTGTTATAACGTTATAATTCTGCGAATTTTAATTTTATGGTAAACCCATACTTCACCACAGGTAATGATGCAATGTAGGGTACTCAGTTACGTTGTAAAGCATCTCTTTTGCGAGCTCTACTCGATGTCGTTTTTGTAAAAGATTCTGATTTGTTGGCACGAGTCTAGCATTGACACGCTTCATACCCAAAACATTATCCAAATGAGTTGAGTCCATCCGAGAGTGCTGTTGAGATCTTCTCTCTGCCAACACGACTTTTACTGAAGGATTTTTCCGTACTTTTCACGTCCTAAACAAACAGCTGCCAATTCCAATTGTCATTTTCATTGATATACAGTACACTGTTCCGACTGTGAGTTTGCATTTTAATTAACGATATGTATGTACATATGTATTTAAAATGTTATCAGCTATTTGAAAAACTTCGTTTTACGGTTATCTCATCAATTTCGTATATATTGTTTATGTTTTTGTCTGTAACTCTTTTGGACGTCTATTGGACGGTTTTCATTAAATTCTGTGCTCATATGACCTTTTCGGAATTCATTTAACCATTTACGTAAGCACTCGTATCATATTCTTGATATCTATAGCAATTTTTCGTCACAAATTCACCCATTAGCTTCAAAATATTTGTATCTTTTGAAAGTAGGGTAAGGTCTAAAAAGGTATAAGAACAAAAATTATGGATTCAATTGTAGCGACGCCCTTTAATAGAAACGATTCGAACTTTGCAGCCGCCCTGATATTTAAGCGTATAAAGACTATGTAGGAGAATATGGTACATATGTTAAAATGCAAATACATATGAACATACATGTGTACAAGTACTATGTGCTTATACTAAGTGAAAAGAGGAAATGTATATGTTTTGCCGATAACCTATGTCTGTTTCCGAGTCGAATTCTTGCAACAGTTGTTCTTTCCAAGCGCCAATCACGAAAAATTCTCAGCTTCAAACCGCAGTCGGCAGTCGTTACGACAATGTGTTCAGCCAAACAGCAAATTTGGCTGGTTTTACGGTGTTTAGTGTGCTTAGTTTATTTCATTACGGAACTTGCTAGCGCGGCGCGAATAATCAACACTAATTACGATTTCAACACAGAAATTGCGCGCGAAGTTTTACGCATTTCAAAGGCTGCAGAAATGGTGAATTATATGCATCCGGGGATAGATCCTTGCGATGACTTTTACCGTTATGCCTGTGGTAATTGGCAGGAAATAAACCCAGCGCGCTTTTCGGATGGAAAAACTGGTATATTTAATGTTTTAAAGAACGCTTATAACCGGCGTGTGATGCGTTGGATGCGTAAACCCAAGCGGACTAGTGAATCGGATATGGATCGCAAAGTAAAGTATTTCTTTGAATCCTGCATGAATAAAGCAAATTTACGGAAAAATTACCGACAGAAGTTACTTTCTGTATTAGAAGAATTCGGTGGAATGCCGGCATTGAAGGGATCACTTTGGGAGGCTGATAAATTCGATTGGTTGGAAACGGTTGCAGTTATTCTTCGAAAGTATGGTAAGCAGATCATTTTAGGCGCAGACGTGTTCGCCGATTTGACCAACAATGAAGTGAATCGTTTATATTTGGGCCAATTGGATAAGTTGGTGACACCACGAGCTGCTGAATATTACGTGGTGTTAGCTGTCGCCAGGCAAATGGAAATGCACACAGTATTGGGAATGAGCATGGATGTGGCCTCCAAAACAGCGACGGAAATTGTTGATTTTGAAAGGAGACTTGCGGAAGGTAAGATCGATGCAGATAAGGGTTTTGGCATGGAAGATAAAGCTCAACTGACTCTACTTGAAATGATGACCAATAACTATAAGCCAACGATTAATTTTACACATTTCGTTAACGTATGGCTGGGTCATCCATATGTGCTGCCCGTTTATGAATATGTGGAGCCATACATAAACAACTTACGCAGAGTTATCGAGGAAACACCCAAGGATATTGTTGCTAATTATATTATGTGGGAGCTGTTACAGGATTTTCGTATGGAAGTAAATGAATCTGATGACAAGCATAGAAACAAATGCGTAGACCGAACCAAACGTTTCTTTGTGAAATACTTGGACCACATAATATACCAACAGTTATTCACCCAAAACCAGCAAATTTTTACTGAACTACGAATGCTATGGTTCGAACTAAAAAATGCTTTTAGGGAATTATTGCAATCGCAAGTAAACAGTTGGATGTCGGTGGTCACACGTGACAAAGCATTGGAGAAATTATCGGCCATGTCCATTGAGATTAATTCATATGATCAAGAAAATTTCGAGCAACTATACGATGTTTTGGTAATCAGCACTGATAGCTACTTTGATAATGTCGTCAATATTTTAGAGTTACAAGGGCGCAATTATCGTTTGCGTCTTTTAGAAACTCCAAAACTTGATGAGGGAGAAACTCTTAGCTTCACACCTGCCTACGCAGCCGAATACAACAGAGTTATTATTCCAGTCGCCTTTCTGCAGCCGCGTTTTCTTTGGGATCAAGCTTACCCGTCAACAGTCAAATACTCCACTATTGGCTTTATTATTGCACATGAAATGGCTCACGGTTTTGATGCTATAACACGTAAATACGACTCCCAAGGCAACCTCAACAACTGGTGGGATTGTAATTCTACCGAAGAGTTTGCCAAACGAAAGGAATGTCTTAGGCAGCAATACAGTGGATATCGGTATAATGGTCGTAAATTGCCAAAAACAAATGCCCAGGACGAAAATATCGCTGATAATGTGGGCGTACGTATTGCCTATAACGCATTTCAGCACTGGATTAGTCAGCATAGTGGTAATTCGACGTTACTGCAGCATGAGAGACTGCCAAACATAAATTTGTCGCCGCAACAATTATTCTTCTTGAGTCTGGCACAAGTTTGGTGTACCGATGTGAATCGTAATTGGCGTGAAATGATAATTGCGACTGATGTGCATCCGCCCGAGGAGGTGCGCGTTGTGGGAATGCTCTCGAATTTCGATGAATTCGGAAAGGAATTTGACTGTAAACCAAATGCGCGAATGATCCCGAAGCGAAGATGTGTTATGTATTGAAAATATATTGCGGTGTAAGACATCGATATTGTTGATTTATTACACAAATAAAAGTAAATATATAAAATAATAGCTGCAAGTACATACGAGTACTTGTGTACTATTTCACTGAACTACGAATGCTATGGTTCGAACTAAAAAATGCTTTTAGGGAATTATTGCAATCGCAAGTAAACAGTTGGATGTCGGTGGTCACACGTGACAAAGCATTGGAGAAATTATCGGCCATGTCCATTGAGATTAATTCATATGATCAAGAAAATTTCGAGCAACTATACGATGTTTTGGTAATCAGCACTGATAGCTACTTTGATAATGTCGTCAATATTTTAGAGTTACAAGGGCGCAATTATCGTTTGCGTCTTTTAGAAACTCCAAAACTTGATGAGGGAGAAACTCTTAGCTTCACACCTGCCTACGCAGCCGAATACAACAGAGTTATTATTCCAGTCGCCTTTCTGCAGCCGCGTTTTCTTTGGGATCAAGCTTACCCGTCAACAGTCAAATACTCCACTATTGGCTTTATTATTGCACATGAAATGGCTCACGGTTTTGATGCTATAACACGTAAATACGACTCCCAAGGCAACCTCAACAACTGGTGGGATTGTAATTCTACCGAAGAGTTTGCCAAACGAAAGGAATGTCTTAGGCAGCAATACAGTGGATATCGGTATAATGGTCGTAAATTGCCAAAAACAAATGCCCAGGACGAAAATATCGCTGATAATGTGGGCGTACGTATTGCCTATAACGCATTTCAGCACTGGATTAGTCAGCATAGTGGTAATTCGACGTTACTGCAGCATGAGAGACTGCCAAACATAAATTTGTCGCCGCAACAATTATTCTTCTTGAGTCTGGCACAAGTTTGGTGTACCGATGTGAATCGTAATTGGCGTGAAATGATAATTGCGACTGATGTGCATCCGCCCGAGGAGGTGCGCGTTGTGGGAATGCTCTCGAATTTCGATGAATTCGGAAAGGAATTTGACTGTAAACCAAATGCGCGAATGATCCCGAAGCGAAGATGTGTTATGTATTGAAAATATATTGCGGTGTAAGACATCGATATTGTTGATTTATTACACAAATAAAAGTAAATATATAAAATAATAGCTGCAAGTACATACGAGTACTTGTGTACTATTTCATATTTTATGTACGAGTTATTGTTGGCTATTAATATTCAAATGACCATGGTTTTACGGAAGTGTTCAAACCTAACATCGAAATCACAAAGTACAATGTCAAGTACGGCTCTTGTTGATTTAAAGCGTGCACTTTCGTTATCACTTAAGAATGAGTTAAAATTGTGAATGTATGTGCTCGTGATTTCAGCATTAACATAACTGAAGATATTTACATATTATATTATAAAAAAGTACATATTTATACCTAACACTAACAAACTTGGTGGTATATGTAAATATTTCAGAAACTTTTGACGGAAATTAATAAAAATAAAAGTAGTATTCATCACCATTTGGAACATTGTTTTTATTTGAGTTCCAAAAATTCATATTCTTGTCTATTGTCTATCTTTTTATCTAATATTCTAGCGGAATGTTTCAAACTACTGTAATAAAATTTGTACAATCAATCGAGTTTTTTTGAATAAAATTTGTATCCTACTGTCCCACTCGTACCAAAATCAAGAATAGTTTATGTATCCTAGATGCTGACCTGACAGTATAGTTATAATTTTCAGACCTCCACATAGTAGCGAACTATGTTCTTCATGTCTAACTTTATCCATTATTTTTCTAAATTTTCATAAGTCGCTTTTAAATGAACATAATGAGTGACAGGAACAGAAGGATACAGATCAAAATTAATAGAACACCTTTTAAAGACCGTTTCATCATCGATAAAACGTTTCCATGCTGCACGATCATAATGTAAATTTATCCTAACTTTTCAATAAGACCAGGAATATTCTTACAATAACTCTTTTTTTGATTAGTACTACGAAATTTGGTAGCAATAATTGATAATACCTTAAACAAAAAAACAAAAAAAATAATGTCGGCCGGTGTGATCGAAATTAATATTGACAACTTATCTACATCAAAATTATCAGATTTACGAAGCCTATCCGTCTATTTGAAGTATATTATTGAAAAGAAGGGAAAATGGGTTCCATGTTGACAGATAATAAGTGTTACCATATTCAAACGAATGAAAGCAATCGAAATAAATAAAAATCCCGGCGGCAATAATTATATATATTCCTGATCTGGAGAATCTCCTCTATCCAACCATGCCCCTCTTAACCCTGAAATCGTGGGACGCTAAACTAAAGTTTTCCCTTTAATAATATTGCACTCACTCCAATTACTTCCATTTCACGAGCTATATGACGTTTGGATAATTTATTTTTATATAAAGCTATGATTTCTGCTTTCTTCTCTATTGACAACACCATGTTCAACTTTGCTTATTTTTACAACTGACTCAAAAGAAATTACCGTAAGTGATAAAATAAACACGTGCAGAAACTAACGGTTTCAGAAATAACGGTAAACCAATGTAGTTACATAATAAAAAAGTCAAATCAGACAAAGAGCGTATTTTGATCGAATAGTAACAGTTTAAAAATGGAAATTTTCGACCGCGTGGGTTTTAGTGAGTGTACAAGTTAACAAAAGTTAAATTAGCTAGTCTTTTCAGCTGCCAAAACTGCAATGTATGCAGTTTGATCGCGCATGATTCAAATGAACTGTATGACCGACAGCCGCAATTCAACACCTTGCAGTAGCCACCGACCGTGTAACCGGCGGATGTAACGCAATGCCTTACACAAGCTTAGGCGTCAGCAGAAATTTAGAAAAGCAGCGTCAATGGCAGTAGCGGCAATAGTAATAGTAGGTTATAAATAAGGAAAATGTAATTTTAATAAATCAATTTTTAGAACGAAACTCAAATTGTGTTTATTTAAAATATTATAATTCCGTGGTAGTCGACAACACCGTCGCTATCGCATAAACGGAATATTATTTAAATAATTCGTGGGTAGTCGACAACACCGTCGCTACCACTCACAACGCACATAAATATTCAAACATACTTCCGCGGTAGTCGACAATACCGTCGCTATCGAATAAAGGAACTGTAACCGATAATAAAGAAATAACTTACATGTATATATAATAAGTATATAATAGTACTCTGCACACTTTCTTCTTGCCTCCAATGTTCTGAATATAAGAATCTGCGTACTTTTGGTTGACTTTTATCGTATATATCGGTGACGAGAATATTTTCTTTTATCATAAAGTCTAATTTTTTTTATTAAACATTTTTGTTCTGCTATAGCTAAAGTGGCTTTTAAAAATAATTTAATACAAAGTAAAGCAAAACTTATTCTATGATAATTTCAGTTAGTTTTTCCAAACTCTAAACTTTTTTCCTAGGCTTTGTAAAAATATAATTTTATTCAACCGTTTAGGTTTTATTCTGTTTCACTGTTTTTTTAGAAGTTTGGATAGACCTGATGTAGCTACAATGGTTAAGTATTTAAAAGCAATTTTGTATATTTAATGGAATTCATACCCGCAATGTCATCAGAAAATGTTATGCGATGTATCGGAAATATCCATGACCATTCGCTACATCAAAATTAAACGATGTATCACATTAAAAACATCGATGTTTGGTGCATCGATGCGTATCGGTCATAACTAGATGAAACCAATCCTGCCCCTTTTATTATGAGTGATGTACTAATTTCCGAAATCTCAATATGTTTTATACTTTTTAAATGTGAACAAACTTCTAATGTTCTATTATGGATATAATAATTACTACATTGATTTCCTTTGTATTATTTTAAGCTCATTCGTTAAATATATTTAATCCTTTATTTTTACGAAATTCTGTACTTACCAAAACTTTGGCTGACCCATATACCGACCATATCCAATTTCAGCAAAGTGTAGTAGACGTTTTCTCCACTTTCAATATTCATGAAGAGATGATATATAAAGCTTCCGCACCATGGTGCTACCGAACCAAAAATATGGCAAAATGATAAAAAGCGGTATTCCTGCTCCCATGGCATAAGACCCGGTACGATTGCCAAAATGTAGAAAATCGGTATAGCTGTGAATTAAATAAAAAAAAGCCAAAACTATTTTGCGATATTTGTGTATTTATATACTTATGTACATATGGTATATACCTAAAATCTTATGGCACTTGACATTGATAAACATATGAGTATAAATATATGGAAATGACGGTATAGTATAACAAGTAAGGAAGGACTAAGTTCGGGTGTAACAGAACATTTTATACTCTTGCAACCTGCAAGGATGAAAGCCGGGGTAATACCTCCAATTGTTGGCAAAATTTCATAATAAAAAATATTGCGAAAGTATTAAACATCTATTATTCGATGAAATCGTGAATAAATTACAATCAGATTTAATATCTTCTTGACTTATATTAAAGGCCATAAACTTAGATAAAACTAAGTCTGCTATATTTTAGTTCGCGTCAGCTATAATTATGTTAAAAACACCTTCAAATGAGATATGTAGATGTGATATCAACCCAACTGAAGAGCTAATTTAAGTTGATGTGGAAAACGTTAACCAAGACCAATTCCATTCTAATTCAGCGCTAAACCACATAATTTTTAAGAAAACTTTGCCATTTAATTTTATTAATATTGTGACGAGCACGAGGATGATAGAACAAAAATTAATCGACGATAAATTGCCAGAAGCAACTACACAGAGAATTCGTAGTTGCCTGAATGTTCTAGAGGCGAATTTTGTTATAGATCTACCAGAGAATGATAATTAACGCTTTCGACCTAAGCCACCACAAAAGTGAAAACGTAGCCACTTTAGCCATAGCTTTATTATTATCCTTTGCTCAATAAGCAATTGCTCACGCAACGCACATACATGAGGTACAGGTAATACAGCTTTTGAATTTAAAAGTGTTTTCATAATTATACATTTTGTGGTATCATTGAAATTGAAAACATAAATCTAAATAGGTATGCGAATCGATTTGCGTGATATATTTTTCTTTTTCGAAATTATATTTTTCGATGTTCCCTCATCTGAAACTATTGTACAAATTAGTACACAAAAAGATTTCATTTAACATTTGCGCCTTCTACATTCATTAACATCCTCTGATCCAGTGATCAAACTCAAGTATGAGTGTGAGTAGACGATTTATCGAAATCCGATTTTGACCAACTTTAATGGTTTAAATCAGGTGGAAAGACGGAAATCAATATATGGAGTTCATAGGGGAAAGAGAAAGGTACGGGCTGATCGGATTGATTTTGAGTAAAGTCATCCGGATGTTCGAAAATCCTGATACTCGGTCAAGTTTTTGCACAATTATATCCATTTTTGACCCAAATATACACTGTTATGATTAAAACATGCATGATTAAAACATGCACTCATTCATTAAGATAACTCACATATTGGACGATATATGCGGTATAAATTCACCCAGAAGTTTAAAAATCTTTATATTAGGTAAATAGGGGCTAAGGAAAGTATTGGCCCGATTCAACCCATTTTTGACATACATACATACTATTATCAAGAAAGGATCTTCTCTGAATTTCAATTATATATCTCACATATTATAGAGTCAACTTTATGAACATATTCGGTACCTAGGGCTTTGAACAATTTTGGTTCTGTTTGGACAAGTTTTGGTCACAAGGTGGTGTACTTTAAAGGCCTTATTCGTGCAAAGTTTTATCCCGATACATTCAGTTTTGCTTTATTTGCAGACTAGAAAGTGAAAGTGTTTTATATGGGAAGTGGGCGTGGTTGTAGTCCGATTTCGTACTGTAACATACGAATACGAGAAGAGCGTGACATACCGAATTCGGTTGACATCGGTCGAGCAAGTCCCGAGATATGCGGTTTAGGAAATATGCACATTAAACCTATTAGAGGCCGTCACCACGCCCACTTAAAAAAATTTGTTTAAACTGCACATGCTCTTACTAATGTGATTCGTTATACCAAATAACAGTCTTGTATCTTATTGTGGAGCTTAGTTATAGCAATTTATTGGTTTTCGATTAATGGCGTTTCGTGAGCGTGGCAGTAGTCCGATCGCGACCATCTGTAATACCAACCGTCTTACGGCACCCAGAGATATGTGTATCAAGTTTCGTGAATATATCTAAACTTTTACTTAAGTTACAGCTTGCAGCGACGGACGGACAGACAGTCCCCGGATTTCTCTGGTCTCTTCACCCAGATCATTCATCATTTTATATTTTTCTTGTTAGATTTTCGAACGTTTTTTATTGATAACGGTAGACATTTTTGTTTTGTATTATGTATACTGAACGTATTTGAAAATTGTATTATTCTTTCCAGAGTATTCTTAGCACATATGTATGTATGATCAATTATTTTTGTTAAAATTACAGATAATTGCTTTGTACTAATTTATTATACTCTCGCAACAGATACAATAGTTTTGTTCACCTAACGGTTGTTTGTATCACTTAAAACTAATCGAGACTTACTGAACATATCGGTCAATCTGCGAGGTCTAGTATTGAAATTCGGAAAGAATTTTTTTTGATGACAGCATACTCTGCCAAAAAAAGGTAAAATCCGGTTAATACTTCCCTTAGCTCCTATATACCTAATATAAATATTTTAATAAAATTCAAAGGACATCTATTGTTTTTATTTATCTATTGTAAGGATATGTCGTAACTTCAAAACTGGATAAAACCAGGTCAAATATTCTACAGGGTGGAGCTCGAATCGTGCTACAAAAACAGACCGTAATAACGTTTTTTTTAATCAATACAATAATTTTTTTTTTTGTATAGCAAATTTTATTTTATTTTTAATAATTCAGTATTTTTAAAAATTATGGATCGTAAATTGCGTCATATGCAAGACCTAATTAGAAAATTATTCATTGCGTATTAGATGGTTGGAATCGGGATTGTCTCAATTATCGATTTAATGGACTGCTTCAGATTTATGGATTTGTTTTGTCCACCTCTTGCTTGACATAACCCCATAAAAAGAAGTCTGGTGTTGTTGTTGTTGTAGCGGCGAAATTCCGCCGAGTTGACAATCCTTGGACGGATAAAAATCTGGGTCCGTTCAGGTTACGTAGACCTGACTGTCGTCAGAACGAATGTCTGGTGCTGTCAGGTCAGGTGGCGTTAGGGGCCAGCGGAAAGTGAAGATACTAATTTGTTTTAACAAACAATTTTTCAACAACAATTTCTTCGTGGAAAGCGTTTTTCGTCGAATAAAGATGCTATTACAGCCGTAGAGGAATATTTTGCAGAGCTTTATAGGGATGGCAAAATATTTTGGAGGATCATTGGAATAAGTATATTGAAGTTAAGGGAGATTATATTGAATATAAAAATATATCGTATATTTCGACATTTCTTACGCCAGCATAAAAATAGGTGAAATCGGATGATAACCACGACCATTCCTCATATAATAGTTTTGCTAAAAACTACTAAAAGTGCGATAAATCTTTAACTAAATGCGCCATTGACATAAAATTTTACACCAGAGATGGTATGAGAGGGCTTAATAGGAGCTGTCAAATTTGGACGATTGGCGAGACACCGCCCACTTTTGAGTGAAATCACATATCTCCGGACCTACTAGACCAATTTCAACCAAATTTGCTACCTAGGACTAGTTTGTGAGTTATTTTAAATAAATTGAGTGAGCGTGGTTTTCTCCTAACGGTGCATGTCTGTGCCTAAAATGGATAAAATCGGGTGCACTAACCCCATTAAACTAATATCAGGATTTTCAAACATCCGGTTGACTTTACTCCTCAGATATTGTTGATGATATGGGAGGCACCTTAATGAAACTCAGAGGGCATCTGTTTCTATTAATAATATGTAGTAATGCCAAAAATAGATAAAATTGTGTTAACTTCCCATATACATATATCTAATAAAAGATTTTAAAACTTCCGGTTGGTATATACGGTATACATCGCTCAATATGTAAGATATCTTAGCAAAATTAACTATTGGATTTACACTAGTTTAATGCCGGGAATAAGAGAATAATATTATACTACATATTATAATTTCCATTATTCTAACAACCCGCTGAACATGATTGTAGTTGGTCTGGACCTTGGTCTTAATCTCATATCCCTAATATCATCAATTCCGATCTTCTGGTTGACGTAGGCTCTTCGGTTAAGTTTATGTCCGATACATGTAATTTGAAGATGACTTTAATAAAATTTTCACTGACGGCAAGTAACATATAGTTATAAAACTAACTGAGCCTATGAACCAATTATATAACTTAATAAAATACCAAAAATAGAACAACGGCAACATTGGTGAAATGAAAACCAAAGAGAACAACTGATCTCTGTTTTGCAACTACGGGCGTAACTTTTGACAAATTTGGTTTGATACGGGCTGTAAGTACGGACGGGAGGAATGTCGGTGACTGTTTGATCTAATATTATATAATACAAATACCCATTGAGCTAAATAAAAAAATTTTATGAGTACAAAGAACCACCAATACGTATTTAGTTGAGCGTTTTGGACACATAAGTAAGAAAAATACTCGCAAGGAAGTATGCGGTGTACTCTTTGCTGCGGTCCACCGCTGTAGTTCTCTGGTACGTATGTTTGTTATCTTTTTCAGTGGCACTGAAATGAATGGCACTGTGTGACAGAAGAATCAACAGTTTGATAGGCACTGCATAAAACAAAAAAAAAAGACCCTATAACTATGCAGCTAAAAGCATCAGTTATCCATGCTGTCATTTGAATAAGAAATTGACTCAAATACATCCTTAAAGAAAGTGAAAATACCACATCTGGCTAAATAAAAACTATGATTCAAAAAACTAAAAAACACGCTTTTAAAAAAATTCATGCTTTGTGCCATATGTTTTGTATTTGCAGCATACCACATTTATAAGTATTTTTCGGTTAATATAACTGTCAATTTATATTAATAATTATTTTTCACTTTTAGTTTGAAGTGCTTTAAACGCGTGTTTTTTAGTTTTTTTAAATTAAATATTTATTAATCAGACTATATGTGCCATAATCTCATAATCGTAGCTATTCATATAACACAAAAACACTATTCGGATTATCTTTATTCTTTACACACACCCTGACAAAGGTAATTAACAAAGTCCAATAAACACAATAGCAATCAATCCTCTGCGCACAACTGAGACAGCTAGATTACACAGCGTCAGTGAGCAACTTCAAGCAAGCGATAACGGTGATGACCTGCCCTCAAGCTATCGCGCAAAATGAGATAAGGCGTTAAACAGATGAGGTCGCTCTCTGTTCGGTGGTTTGAAGTGGCGGCCTCAGTCTTGATTATACCTAACGGTTGATAGTTGAAACTAGCCATTGAGCTACGAACCGGTCGAATATGTTTCGAAGCAGTAGGAATGCATACTGGTTATTAATTTTGTCAATATTGCTATTTTTACATCTAAATGGTGTTGATAACGCACCAGTGAGTAATGCTACTAAAGAACCAATGGAAGGTTTGGACACCGAGTGGGCAAAACAAATATCACAACAAGCTAAAGCTGCAGAAATACATGTAATGCTCAATACGAAAGTAGATCCATGTATAGACTTTTATCAATATGCTTGCGGCAACTGGCATCGCCATCACCCAGCACAGCTCTTCAATCATCTAATGACCGATCGATTTCAATTGATCGCAAATGCTTTCGACCGTCGCCTTCAGTTGGTTCTCACTGAGCCTCGAGGAGATGATGTGATTGAAACCAAATTGAAAAATTTTTATCACGCATGCAAATTAGTGGAAAAGGATGAAGTCCGATATAAAATGGCTTTGCAACGTACCTACCAGGAGTTTGGCAAATTACCGATGTTGGATGGTGAGGACTGGAAGAGCGAGGAGTTTAGATGGTGGGAGTTAGTGGCGAAAATACAACACAAGTATGGCAAACAAATTATACTCGCAGTAGATATCATGGCCGACATAGTTAACAATACGGGAAATAAAGTTTACATTGGACCGCCCGATTTTTCGATTAACAGTGGTACAAAAATACTTAGCATGTTGCAGGAAATAACAACTGTGCAGCACATGAAACGGTTTTTTGGTATAGAAGAAACAAAGGGGAGGAAAATCACTAAGGAACTCATTAATTTTGAACGTGCTTTGGTTCGAGGAGGATCTGATTCTCGGCAAGGTTTCACACTGCGTGATTTACTCTCACTTAAGTCAGTTAGTGAATTGCGTGAAATTTATAATGAAAGTCTAGATTTGGCAAAGTTTTTAGAATTAGCTTTGGGTGCTGAACAAGTGCCAGACTACATTTACATTTATGATGAAAAATATTTAAATAGTGTTGTGAAAATAATAGCAGAGACTCCACCGCACGTGGTTGCAAACTATATATTATGGCAAATGTTTCAACCTTATATAGTTGATGTGAAGAAGGGCAATATGGCCAAGTGGTGCGTTGAACGTACTAAGAAATATTTTGGTAAATTTGTCGACTATATGGTTTACCAACGTTATAAAGATCCAGCTGTGGAAAAGGAGGTTTACGATATGTGGAATGAAATGCGCGAGGTCTTTCGCTCAGAACTACGAGGCAATAAACTCGATTGGATTATAAATTCAACACGCGAATATGCGCTTCAAAAATTAGATGCTATGAATTTGTACATCAATTCTTATGAGTCGGTGAATTTCACCTCAGAATATAAGGATATACAACTTACACGTAATAACTACGTCGAAAATGTGCAACAAATTTTAAAAATAGAAAGCCGTAGGAAGTTGCAACGTCAAAACGGTCCTGTAGTTCCACTGGAGGCGCCAGAAGTGTTCACTTTTACTCCAGTCTACAATGTACTGGATAATAATATTAAAATACCTGTCGCACTTTTACAACCACGTTACTTTTGGGGTACAGACTATCCGCAAGCCCTCAAGTATGCCACACTCGGTTATTTGATTGCACACGAAATGGTTCACGGATTCGATGATGATGGCCGTAACTATGACAAGTTGGGCAACTTACGCAATTGGTGGGACGAAAAATCCACATATCAATTTGAAGAACGACGCAAATGCTTCCAGGCGCAATACCATAAATACCGCTATGACGGACATCAATTGCGGAACGATGTATCGCAAGCCGAGAATATCGCCGATAATGCAGGTGTAAAACTGGCCTATGAAGCATACCAGAGATGGCTGAATGCACAACGATTCGCAAATGTAACGGGTATCGAGAAGAGGGAAACATTTTCGCAATTACATTTTAATAATGAACAGTTATTTTTCATCGCTTTCGCCCAGCTGTGGTGCGACGATGTCCAGTCGTTTTTCCGCATCGCTCTGGCCATTTCTGATTCTCATGCACCTGGCATGTATCGCGTAATAGGATCCCTATCGAATTTCCAAGAATTCTCATGGGTTTTTAAATGTGGCCAAGACGCACCAATGGACCCGGAATTCAAATGCTCACTTTACTAAAAGAAAATTAATGAAAAAAATATAGTGTTTAGATTGTACATGTCTCTGTATGTAAACTATTTATCGCTTTTATGGTATATACACACATACATAGCTAAGAAGACGATGCAATGCATCCATACATACACACTTACGTACCCATGTAGATAAGCACGGCATTTTAATGAGAAAACAGTGAAATAAATATACATACTCATTACATATTTATACTTAAAAAAATGGACGTATTAACTGTTAAAAGAAATTTTAGACATATGTTTATAATATTGCTGCAGGGAGTTATGTTATAAATAAACTTTAATTGATATATCCATATCTCACAAAACTCAAATCAATGGCACGGACAAAACTTGGTTTAATTTAATTATGTTATCTAAACATATTCTGAATATATCCTAAATCTAACTTTCTTCCCACTGAATTGTTTTTGTATAGAATTAAGTCACAACCTCCTTTGTAATGATGAATTATTTATTAGCCATTCGATAATTAATAGATTTTACATTTATGTTTTGGATTCATTGTGGTGCCCGTGCCGCAGTGAAACTCCTCAGCAAACGTTTGAAAATTCGCCAAAGAGCCAATAACCCGATATTTTGCCGATGCATGTAAACTTATCAACGAATCTTTGTCCCTAAAGTGCATATCCATATTGTTGCACCAAAATTGTGCAAAAGCGAGGAAAAATAGTTGTTTGTTTGTGAAGTTCAAATTAGGCAACGTTTCCAATGCTAGGAGGCGTTCGCGCTCCCGCGGAATGATATCATTTAAAGTGACAATCCATTTCTGATAGGTTTTGAAGGCCAATTGTATGCCTCCATTGTCGGCTATATTTTCCGCTTGCAACTCATTCGGTGGGAGATAATTGCCATTGTAGCGGTATAACGAATATTGCCGCTTAAAACATCTCTTTCGTTCATTAAAAGCATCAGTGGAATTGTTATCCCACCAGGTTTGTTCACTGCCAGAGGTATTGAAATGACGTCCCACATCGTCGAAACCATGAATAAGTTCGTGTGCCATTAAAGAGCCGATTGTGGCAAATTTCAGTGCGTTCGGATAGTGATCGGACCAGAGAAAATTTGGTTGTAGTAATATAACGGGTATTCTAATTAAATTTTCTCTGTTAATGTAGGCGGGTGAAACTGAGAATGTTACAGGCATTTCTACTGCCATAGGGGGTTGTCGGAGAGTGTCTAAAGACCGTTTAGTTTGCTGAATAAAAACTTGTTTCAAATTCTCTATGTAATCAGTATTACTTAATACTAAATTTGCGTATTTTTCATTGAACTTTAATTCTTCATATGAGTTGATTTCTAATCTCATTGCCTCTAATTTTTCTAAAGCCAATTTTCGTGTTGCTGGCGATATCCAATTTAAGTTATTTGATTCAAGTTCACTTTTAAAAGTTTCTTTGATTTTGAGCCAAATGAGATTAATATCTGCCACTGTATTCTTATCATTGAATTTTCGAAATATCATGTTATCCAGGACTTTTGCGAAAAAATGTTTGGTTTTATTCAAACAAAGCTTTTTCTTAGCCCTATTTGTTGCTTTGTAATCAAAAAAGAACGTCTTAAGTAATTGGTACATAATATAATTTGCTACTTGCTCCATAGGCATCTCCTTAAGCAGCTGTACAAGGTTCTTTTGATACTCCATGTGGTACTCGTAAAACGTTGCATTAAATTCTTGTCCTAAACTAATATTAAGATACGTTTGAATATCTAACTTGCCTTCATAAACTGAATACATTTCGTCAACCGTGCGTAACACAGCCATAGATTTCAGCGTCTTTGCTGATCGCCGATCTGTCATGCCATCAGCTAATCTCGATTCGAAATAAAGTATTTCGTGTGCTGTTCTTTCTGCAACTTTTTCATTAATATCCAAATGCTTTTGCAAAGCTTCCGAAATTTTTTCTTTATATTTGTCACGGTGCCATTTAGTAGCTGGACTTTTATACATGGCTTTACTCTGTAGTTCTAATTTTGGCTGCCCAATGAATATTTTATTTATGGTTTTATTTACAAAGTCTTCTCGCACGCCTAATTGGAGTATGATATCTAGTCCGTATTTGTTTTGTATACGCGCAATGGTGGGCAACCAGTCGAATTTGCTGGCTTCCCATGTTCCCTCTGGTATAAGTACTGGCATTTGCCCAAACTCCTCAGCAATCTCATATAGCTTCATTTTGTGACGCTCCTTTTGCGTCTCGTCAACTTTCTGGCACGCGCCAAAGAATGTTTTCACTTTTATTATAATTTTGTCCTCGTTCTCCTGTATCTCCTCCAAAAGTACTTTTAACTGCTTTTTATCATAGGTGCTGAGCAGTTGTGAAAGAAATGTTGTTTCCAATAAGCTGCATGGCTCCGTTGGATTAATTTTCGCCCAATTACCGCAAGCGTGTTGAAAAAAGTCATCACAAGCATTCACATCCGGTTGCATGTAGTTGCGCATTTCGGCCGACTTTGCCTGGCGCATTACATCACGCACATACTCTGTATTGTTCATCTGTGAAATTGTATCCACATACAATTGCACCTTTGGTACTGAAGACGACTGGGAATCGCACACCGACAGCAATAGTAGTTGGAACAAAGGAAACCATAGCGAATATCTTTCTATGCCGTTAGGAAAAAACATTTTCCTTCGCAAAACGCTTCAGTTCTTTATGATTGTTCAACGGAAGAAATAACGATAAACTTTGTTGGCTTTGACATGCGGCACATACGACTTGAGAAGTGCTACTGTCGTGTGAAATACAGAGCTGAGAAGAGGACAGCCGCAAGTGGTAGCTGTTCCATTTAATAAACTACAAAACAAGTCTCATTTTACATATAGTTCAGAATGTTATCACTTCGCAGTTGTACGGAGGCTATTGAAGAGAGGCTAGCCCAACTATGACTAGTAATAGATGTAGACAATTTGGTAATTACTAAATAGTCTATATACATACATATACTAACACGTAGGCAAACTACAATAACTTATACTTTTTAGATCTGTGCTTTTTATACTCCCGCAACATGTTGTTACAGAGTATAATAGTTTTGTTCACCTAACGGTTGTTTGTATCACCTAAAACAAATTGAGTTAGATATAGGGTTTTATATATATAAATGATCAGGATGAAGAGACGAGTTGAAATCCGAATGACTGTCTGTCCGTCCGTCTGTGCAAGCTGTAACTTGAGTAAAATTGAGATATCTTCATGAAACTTGGTACACACGTTTCTTGGTACCGTAAAACGGTTGATATTGCAGACGGGCGTAATCGGACCACTGCCACGCCCACAAAACGCTACTCATCAAAAACAAATTAATTGCCATAACTAAGCTCCACAATAAGATACAAGACTGTTATTTGGTATACATGATCACATTAGGAAAGGACATTTGCAGTTTAAAAGTTTTTTAAAAAGTGGGCGTGGTCCCGCCCCCTAATAGGTTTAATGTGCATGTTTCCTAACCCGTTAAAGCTATAATAACAAAATTCACTGAGAACAAATACTTTTAACACTTCTATCGACAGTGTGAAAATTGGTGAATTCAGATGAAGACTGTTAATAACTACTAAAAGCGCGATAAATAAAGCACTAAACACGTCAGAGACATCAAATTTTTTCTTTGGGATGGTATGAGATGACTTTATAGGAACTGCGTTCAAAATTAGACAGCGGGCTTGGCACCGCCCACTTTTAGGTGAAAAATCCTATCTTGGGATCTACTTAACCGATTTCAACCAAATTCGGTACACAACATTCTCTTTATATTCTTATGTTATAGTACGAAAATGGGTGAAATCGGATTAAAACCACGCTTATTTCACATATAACACCATTTTAAATTCCATCTTATTCTTTCCATTTCTACTATGCAAATCAAGCAAAATATATATAGAAGTCTCAAACGAATATATCATTTGACTTTGAGAGAGTATAAAATGTTCGGTTACATCCGAACTTAGCCCTTCCTTACTTGTTTTCATTTCATTTTACTCTTTACATATGTGGGGAATGCAGTATGGTAATAGTTTCCTATTACTTCGAGAGATGTGATGGGTAGAAGAGATAGAACTTATGGGTAAAAATTCTTAATCAATCACTCTTATATCCATGTAAAACAATTTTTTCCATACTAAACCGTCTTTTCTCTAATACTCATATGCACACTACTTATATATTTCATTATTTTACCTAATGTTAGGGTAAAAGTTATAATTATCTTAAATTTAAAGTTTATTGGTAGTAAATTAATAAGTTCTATTCACTTGACCATAGCTAAATCGGAATTAGTTGGTACTTCTATTTAAATTTAAATTAAATTTTTATTACAGCGATTCAAGTAATATATAACCGGTTTTTAGTTGTAAGTATGTATGCACATATATACAGACTTATGTATCCACTGAAAAGTATTAAACGAAAGAAAGCGCTTTGAGGAGTTTTTTTTTAATAACAAGTGCATTACTCTACAAACCTGTTGTTAAAAAGCTTTTAAAACAACTAATTATATTCCAATAGATGAAAAAATTTATTGTTTCTATACCCCTAACAGGGTATATTAAAATTTCCACGAAGTTTGCAACGCCCAGAAGGAAGTGTTTCAACACTTCACCATAAAAGCCAATGCTTAAAGATTTGTTAATTTCAATGGCTTAAAAAAAGCGAAGGATGACCAGGCTGTCACCAGACAGTGGTAAGACAGCACCACCGAAAACTTCATCGTTGCCGTTTAAATATTGCATTGTTCTGTACAATTCGCTTTGTGAATAATTGTGAGCTATTAAGCACTCATCTCAAATTATAATTGAACTTTTTATCAACACTGCCTACAAATGAGATTATATGTTGTGATATTAAAATGTATTACCGTATACCGATGTATGCATCCTGAAAAAACCGCCTCATTCAGTAGCAACAATCAGTATTATTCATATACATATGTATACGAAAATTAATGTTCTCTTGCAGTAACTATGTGTAGTTATTACTATAATTTTTTTTTTTAAGTAATAAAATATTCTAATGATTCTTACATGAATTTTGAGCACATGCTTATGATTTGAAATATAATTTTTGTATTAATGAATTGTATTGACTTCTAACGTAAAGAAATTAAAACAAGAAAAAACGTTAACTTCGGTTGCACCGAAGCTATAATACCCTTCACAGCAATATGCTATAGTGGTCCGATATCGGCCGTTCTGACAAATGAGCAGCTTCTTAATGAGAAAAGGACAGGTGCAAAATTTCAGATCGATAGCTTAAAAACTGAGGTACTAGTTTGCATATATACAGACAGACGGACAAACGGACATGGCTAAATCAACTCAGCTTATCATGGTAATCGTATATGTATATATTTTATAGGGTCTCCGACGGTTTCCTTCTGGGTTTTACAAACTTTATATACTCTGTTCAGGGTATAAATATCCTATGTCCGTCCCCTCGTTTTAGGCTGCCTTCCCACTAATTTTCAGCCAAATCGGTTCAGTCGTTCGTGAGTTATAAATAGTGTAACTAACACGACTTTCTTTAATACTATATATAGTCGTAGATGAATGAAAGTAAACTTGAGATCATATCAGCACTCCTTTGAGAGACAAACCATTAAACAATACAAATATCGATTTTGGAAGAAGGTCAGTCAAAACGATGTCCCTTTTGTGGTTTCAACATCAGATTCGCGAAAGTGTTTAGTTCCTACTCATGCATGAATATATGTATGTATGTATTTTTATTTATTTATTTATTCCAGGATACAAAGTACATATTACATACAAAGTATGCACCTATAGAGGTGTTACAAAACACCTGTACATAGGCCTGGTAATATTAGTTTATTATAATTAAGTATGTAATAAATACTTTATTGAAAAATCGTTTAAAACAGAGTACAACTTCACGACAACGAGATTAACGACGACGAATATAATTTTTTAAAATTCGCGCAATAAACCATGTAAGCGGAGGTTCCAACGTGCAGTGGAATCGCTCACAGAATTATACATTTGTATGTATACATTTATATGTTCTTCTTATATCAAAAACCACTATAACTTTTAGTAGAGTCAGTGTAAAAGTATGTGTTTGGAATAAAGATATCATCCACTGCTTCCTTTTTAACATATGTACTTGTACATACATAAGTATATGATTAATCATTAGTAATTTATAATTACGATTTTGCAAGCCGTTTATATATACATACATACATATGTATATACGTATAGTACATAGTGTCTTTGTGTGGGCATGTTAATACACATATGTGTACGTATATATAGGAGTGTATGTTCTTAAATGAGTCGTACAATGCCAAACCGAAAACTCCAGAGTCATACTCTAGTCACGTCATAAAGTCTAAGTATGTATGAATGCTCGTGTATGTATGCACCCATACCCCAGAGGAAGACACGAAAACTGGGATGATTGTGGCGAGCTCAACAAAACAGTTGCAATTTGATTTTCGACTGTATAACAACGCGTCTACTCTCCGAAATGAAATGTCTAAAAAAGTATTCGTTGCACATAATTTGTGTGATTTTGGCATTCGCACACACCTTAGCTACACCGTTAATAGTGGATCGTGCTAAAAAAATTCCCTCGAATCCATCGAAAACAGAAATCGATATAATGCGAACAGCAAAGACCAATTCAATATTAAACAATATGGATAGGAAAATTGATCCATGCGATGACTTCTACAAATTTGCGTGCGGAAATTGGACCCGCCTCTACCCTGCTGCTACAATCGATCACTTGACAACTGGTCTATTTGAAGAGTTGAGCCATTTACTTGACCGCAAAGTGGAAAAGCTTTTAACAAAGTTTCAAAAATTGCTCACAAATATGGCAAGGACATCATCATAGGCATGGATATAATGGCTGATTTAAAAGACAACAGCGACAATAGAATTTACATTGGCGCAGCGGAACTGCCTTTAGAAAGTCGTGTTATGTATTTGGATAATTCAACAGCTGTGCATAGAGATAGTTATAAAAATTAAATTCGTAAAGAGCTTGAGAAATTTTTAGGAATGGATACACATTTGGCTACGAAGACTGCAAATGAAATTGTGAATTTCGAGAGATCCACAGAGATTTTTCTTGTACCTATATATATATATATATATATATATACCTACATAAGTCTCTCATTATCAGTAATTTAGCAAAAATCCATACACAGTTGTATACATACATATGTGTATAGGTACATATGTGCATACATACATTTGTATATACATAAGTTTATTAAATTTCCCAGAAGAGTAATTAGGTTAACTAGCAATAACTAGTTGAACTATTTCAGATTTATGACCACATATTGTTTTTCGCCGTAGTCTGCAAAGTGATTTTAGATCGGTTTAGAATCTCCACCTAGTCTACATTCAAACGCTATGTGGTGTAAAAAACCAAATTAAATTTGTTTTTTTGGAATATGTTGTTCGTTTATATAGTGTTTCAATATATCTAACAAACCCCCTTGTAAAGTTTATTTAGCATTGTATGTATATATGAAATATAAGAATTTCACTTACCATGAGTGAGTATATTAACAGTTTCATTATGCCAGCAGAACAAGCTCCATAGACAGCCACGGAAGGTTGTCAGCGGTCGGTAACCGTTCAGCACATAGGGATTGAACTGCAAATATTTTGGCATATCCTGCCATTTCTGTAGCTGTTTAGTAGAATTGAATGAGGGTGATTTCGTTGTTGCGCGCGACTTAAGCTCTATTGAACTTTTCGGTGACTGCACTATCGATGTGCTTTCCAAATTCGTACTAGATGCTAACAAGTTCGTTGATGATGACAGCGATGATGGCGATGACAGTGACGACCGCGGTGTCGATGGTGTTGTTTGTGTATATAATCCTAAATTTTCCTCGTTTGCAGTGCGTAGTGGAAGCCCTCTAAAAGGGAGTACATCTCGCTGTTCGACACGTTCTTTGCCATTTAAAGTTAATATATCTCCTGATGTCGAGAACGTAGCACCAGTGTCAATATCAATGCCATCGACGCAGCTTTCCACAACCAGTGTTCGTCGTCGAGCCATTTCTCGCTTAATACTAATTGGTGTTGCGATCACAGACGATATAGTCGAATTTGAACTTGAATTGCTGCTGGAACTTGAGCTAGAAATATTGGATTGCCCAGAAGCCAACTTAAATTCTGTATTCGGCGTGGTATTCGACATAGACTTTGCTGATATGACGACAGAGTTTTTCTCTATTGTCTTTGATGGCGACACTTGCGGTGAAGGAGACGGCGTCACAGACATACGCTCTGTGTTGCTACCTAGATATTCAACCATATCGATAGGATGTGGAGTAAAACTCTCAACCCTGTGTGTGGTAGTTGCTACAGTGGCCGGACAACCGTAGTTCATTGCCGAGGTCCCGATGCTATGGCCGACACCGACGCCAACTTGCAAGCGGTGGCGCAACACACTCGTTTGCTCCAACATCGCTACTGGGGTCAGCAAAACGGTTGGCGTGAAACTCCCGGGTGACGTTACATCGTGTGGTAAAAGTTCGTCGCAACTGCTGGCACTCGTAATATCGTTTTGCATGATTGTGGTGGTCGTGGCACCGTTTTTGTTACTTTTAGTGCCATTGCAGTCAGCAGCAGATTGCATGGCTTATCAATAGTTGAAACTTCAAATATTAAGCGAATTCAATTAAACCGTAATTGACTCAGCATTTTAAGGCTTCTTAGTAATAAGTGCTAAGAATTTTGTACATATGTATGTGTTTATCGTCAACATTCACGGGTCGAGAAATTAATTCTAATTAAACTGCAAAAAAAGAAAGAAGCATACATACTACAAAAATTGTTTTAATTGTTAGTTGATTTACTACATAAGTACGTACTTCTCTTACATTATAATACAATTGCAAAATTCATACCATAAACGAATGCTGAATACAACAACTGCATTTCTGCGGAGGATAAATGTTTTGTAGGCGTTACTGCTTGATTTGAATCCGAGTTTATTAATTTTAAAATATGTTGAAGTTTTTGAATGGTAAAATACTAAATATTTTTTAAAAATGAAAATTACATTTCATTGGTTACATACTCATATATCGTCAGCTAAAATACAAAATAAAGTAACATCACTTTTCATAAGTTTACAGGAGAAGGAAAAAACGATGCAAAACAAGTAGGAGGGGCTAAGTTCGGGTGTAACCAAACATTTTATATTCTCGCAATTTGCAAATTTTAGGTGTTGAAAAATTTATATTAAACAATGTTGCATAAGAATTCAATATGCATTATTTGAAGAAACGGAATAGATTACAATCAAATTTGATATCTTAACTATTGCACTAACCTATATTATTGATCATAGACCCACTTAGTTTAATTACTACATTTTACTTTTCCGAACTATTATATTTATATTAAAATCAAGCATATAAACGGAAATGGGATTTATCTGATCTAAAATAAACCGAAGTAGCTAAATTTAATAAATAGGTGTATATGAGGAAAGCATCTACTATAGGATTTGGAAGTCAGCATACTAGGGATAAGAGATTGAGACTAAGGTCTTGACCAATTCCAGTCATATTCAGCGCTAAACTACATTCTTTTTGAGAAAAGTTTTCCACTTAATTTCATTAATATATAACACATATTGACCGACATAAACACTTTAAAGTCAGATGGAAAGTCAAAATGGATGGATATCACTACAGCGCCTACATATATTGGGGATAAAGGAAGATCTGGTTGCATTCACTCATGTATATTCGGGAACATGTTTTCATTTCAGGAAGATAACTCACACATTGACACGTTATATGCGGTATAAAGTCAACCGCAAGTTCGAAAATATTCAAATTAGGTATATTAGGTCATACTTCATCTAGCCTTTTAAACTGATTTTATCCATTTTTGACATAAAGACTTATCGTTACCAGAAAAAGTTGCTCTCTGAGTTTCTTAAAGATAACTCACATATTGACCGTTATATATGGTATAAAGTCAACCGCAATTTTAAAAATTCTTCTGTTAGGTATGTTTGTAACTTCTGTCTGTGCTTATTGCTTGCTTGAGTAAAAATTGAGATATCTTGATGAAACCTGCTGCATTTATTCCTTGGCACCCGAGAGAGGTCGGTATTGAAGATGGGCTTAATCGGACTACTGCCACGCCTACAAAACACCATTAAACGAAAACCTATGAAGTGCCATAACTAACACTAAATTAAGTTACCGAACTCTAATGTGGTACAGAGGATCACGATAATAAGATACAATTGTTGGCTGGAATTTTTTTTAGAAGTGGCAGTAACCCCACCTTCAAAATGGTTAAATGTACATATCTTTTAAGCAAGTGAAGCAACATTTGCTGGGAGGAAGTCTTTGTAGCACGTCTTCATACGCTGTGAAAATGGGTATAATAATCAAATTATAACCCCGCTTACTCCATATAACGGTTATGTTGAAAACTACTAAAAGTGCGATAATTCAATGAATAGATTCGCCATAAGCATTAAACTTCACAGTCAGGATGGTGGTGAAGAGCTTTATAGGAGCAGGTATAAAAATGTAATAATGGGGGTGGCATCGTCCACCATTGGTTGAATTCCTATATCTCAGGAACTGCCCGACCAATTTCAACCAAATTTGGTTTGTGAGGTTACCCAGCCACTGTAAAAGCGGACACAGCCACGTCTACTTCCTATATACCTATAACAACTTTAAATTACATCTGATTCTTTTACTTCCAGTATGCAAATCAAACAGCAATATATATATATCGGGATAAAACTTTGTACAAGTAGTGCCCTTAAGGTATTTAATATTATGCCCAGACACCAAATATCTGAACCCCAGTGTGTTTGGTTGATTTTATAACGCTTTTAAAGGGTGTTTTGTTTTAGAGGTATATAACTTTAAATTGCAATAAAACAACGCTGGATTATTCGATTGACATGAATTTTATTTCTCCGAAAGATAATCTTGTGGCATTACATTTTAAATATGATTTCTGGCATATAACTGCCACGGCTGGCTCGGATGTAGTCCAATCTGGACGTCCAATTTTCGATGACTTTTCCAACATTTGTGGCCGTATATCGGCAATAACACGGCGAATGTTGTCTTCCAAATGGTTGAGCGTTTGGGGCTTATGCACATAGACCAATGACTTTACATAACCCCACAGAAAGTAGTCTAGCGGTGTTAAATCACAAGATCTTGGAGGCCAATTCAAAGGTTCAAAACGTGAAATTACCAAAAGTGTCTTTCAATAAATCGATTGTGGCACGAGCTGTGTGACATGTTGCGTCTTGTCTGGAACCACAGCTCCTGGACATCATGTTATTGAACAATCAGGAATGAAAAAGTTAGTAATCATGACTCAATACCGATCACCATTGACTGCAACGTTCTGGCCATCATCGTTTTTGAACAAGTACGTACCAATGATTCCACCAGCACATAAAGCGCACCAAACAGTCAGTTGTCTGGATGTAACGGTGTTTCGACATACACTTGAGGATTAGCTTCACTCCAAATGCCATTCAACCAAAGTCATACGATAAAATGAACGAAGTATGAACGTAAATGTATGTGTGTTTGTATGTATGTTTGTAACCTTTTTTTCTCAACGGTACTGAATAGAATTCATTAACATTCTCTGCTCAAACAAATCTTTCAAGCAAGTAAAGCACCACATGTGGCGAAATGATAAATATGGTTTAAAGAACTGGGTTGGATTTATATACTGTAAAATGAAGTAAATTGTATTCCGATTTCATTTTCCCACAGTAAGATGGCCTATTTTCTATGACGTTTTGCCCTTCATCTTATTTGTGAAATTTAATGCTTCTGACGTATTTATTTAGTTTAGCACTTTTTTTAGTTTTAAACATAACCGTCATATGGGGAGTGGGTTGGTTATAATCCGATTTCATCGATTTTAACACTGTTAAAGGATGTGCCAAGAAGATTTGTCCTGAGCAAATTTGATTGAAATAGAAATTTTTAAAATTTCAGCCCGCAGGTAATTCTCACTACTGCGATCCCCTGTATCAAATTACAGTTTAATATCTTAATTTGGAATTTAGTTATAACACTTTATGGGTTTTCGCTTAAAACAGTTAGGCAAAACTATTATACTCTGCATGTTAGCAACATCCCGGAGCAGAGAATGTTAATAAATGTTTATATAATAAATGTTCATTAACATTCTCTAGTATTACATATCGTAATCAATAAAAACTAAATCACGAATTTTTTGGTTGTTGTTTTTCATTACGTCGTTGTTCTTACATTTTTAATTTTCCGTCATCAACTTTAGCGTTGGCCCGACTGGGTTGGCAAGTGTAATATATTAAATATAAATGCGTATATATAGTATATTGACAACAGAAGAAAATGTATTGCCTCTTATAATTCACTTATCAATATTCTCCTATATAAAACACTGAAATTCATATTTTCACTGCCTTAAGTTTACCGTTCACTGTGGCAAATAAATTTAATTCACGCTAGACAAATACAAATATATTCAATGAAACATTTAGAAAAGGCGGAAACCCTTCGTTAATTTCAACATGCTTGAAAACTAACTTTTTCTTTTTTGGTAATCCTAAGAAAATAATAATATTTACACTCTCCAAACGCGAAAAAATAAGGATTTATTTGTTTCACTGCATTTTTGCTTTGTGTTTACATCGATATTATGAAAAAATAATATGAATTCTATTCTTAGACATGTGTGGCAAATTGGTCGTTGCACAATCATAAACAACATCATGGACGTGACCATATGTAATATACAGTTAATCAATTAAGTTTAGGTACAAAGGCATTTTCTCTAATAAACCTCTAATTTCTTTATTTAAATTATTAAAAAGTAAATTTTTTTGTTTGGTAATTCAAGTAGCGACCATATTTAAATGCATTTATTTTAAAATCAGTAATTTTTTTTTATAAATACAAAAAATAGAATAATAAAAACATCAAATCCATTAATTTCACGTACAAAAACGAAAATGATTTGCATACGCCGATACATAATTTTACTAGCACATTAGTGTCACAATTTCGGCCCATTATGTATGTTTATTTACAACTGCTGCATTATTAGCAGCTATTATTTATAGAAAACTGCACTGTAAACTCCAATTTGAAGTTTGCGGCATGTTTCATTTGAAAAGCATAGACCATATGCATCGATGTATGTATGTATTTATTACAATTTATTCAATTATAAATACTAAATATAAAAACACAGTAATAAATACTAAATACAAAACGATTTGAATTCAGTGAGCTTGCAAATAAAACACTGCTATAAAAAGTAGCATTTAATTTCTATGTACCAAACACCTAAAGCTATTTGTTGACATTTTAACATTTTTTTAAGAGAGAATTGATATGAAGTGCATAAATGTCTCATACATACATACGTACACATATTCGATATCCAGCCAATATGTTTCCTCATTGGGTGTGTACCATATATACGAGCGGACGAGCAAGGTGATTCAGAATGCAGACACAATACATGAAAGTATATACATACATATATAACCGCCTATCGATCATACAAATGGATGGTGAACCCTTTGAAATACTTATTTTGCACGAACGGTTGGGATGTTTGATTATCTCCGAAAGGAAGTAAATTGAAGAAGAAAAATTGTTTTAAACCGCCTTTTATTAAAAAGGTTCATTTGAAGAATGCCATTAATGTTAACATAAACCAGGCCATAATCAAGATGCAGATACTTGTATATTATATTCCAAACATAATAGCATGCACAAAAACCTATAGTTTAATACTTACCTTGCAATCGGGTACCTCATATTCTGGCTTTATTTTATTTCTATATAAGACCTTTTCAAAAGTCTTATTTTCGATTTATTATGGGTTTGGGATTTGTAATTGATTTTTTCTTTACATTTGCAATCACGTGATTTTAACGCACACTGTATGCACATTGGTAGTATAATAACTTGTTAAGTTTTTAAAGGTTCACTTTTAAATACAATCGCATTCTGTATGTATAGTAAAGACGTGAATTTCACATCAACAATCATTAAAACTTTAATTGAATTACTATCACTTTATTTAATTAAATCGTCAAATATACAAGCCAAATTGGGCTTATAGGAGCAATTCGCTGCAAACGATTATTTTTCATCTACCATCTTCTACTTTGAATATGAACTTTGCTTAAAGCATGCGCATTAAATAGCCACAACAAAGTTCAGTTTTAAGCAATTTTATTTTGACCAATATTTTTTGTTTAAAATTTTTGTATCAAGTTTTTTTTAAAAATTATTTGTTTCTATTTTTATTAATTTTTTATTATTTATTCTCTTAATTTTTCCCGTTATATTTTTACTCAGAGTATATATTTTTTTTGTTTAAAAGTTTTGTATCAAGATTTTTTTTAAATTATTTGTTTCTATTTTTATTAATTTTTTATTATTTATTCTCTTAATTTTTCCCGTTATATTTTTACTCAGAGTAAAGAATCACTTCCGGTCAAACTGCTCGAATCCTATCCAACTAGACAAAATAATTTTACTGTACTACACACTGTAAGATTTATTTAAGATTCTGCCAATATTATCAAATAAAATCAGTTGCTCTCAAATAATATACAACTGTTTTTTGTTAAAAATAAATATATATAATTTTAATTATTATATTATCAGAAAAACATAATTTTTAATACTAATAAACTAATTCTCAAATCCATCTGCATTAATATGGCATCATTAACAAGTTACTATAACTTTAATCGTGGCTAACTTCGCCATTTAAAAACAAAATAATCAAAGCAATTGTGAAAATAGTTTACATTTATTGCCTGTTGACAATTAAAGGAAATATACAATACATTCTATTAAAACTGATTTGTTCTTCCTCATACAGTAGATTTATACCATGATTTAAACATCATGATATGAAATGATTTACTTTCAATTTTATTTTGTCATTTACCATCTTTGACTTTTCTTCGAATATGAGAAAAAGAGACTAACAAATTGTAAATTATATTTTTTTAATGAACATCTATCATTCTTGAACTATGATAACAAAAACAGTTGTTGATGACATTGGTTTGGAGTAATAAATTTCCATGCGCTCAATCCTAATATATAATACTTAAATAATGCGATGGCAATAAATTGAAAGTAATATGATAACAATTTTAATTTATGTGTTTAAAGGCATCACTGCAAAATATTGTCTGTTTGTGGTGAATTTGTAACCGTAGCGTCAGTAACTTGTCAATCATATCCACCGTGCTTGTGTGAGCAGAGAATGTAAAATATAATAATCTACATTCTCTGGTGTGAGTGGAAGAGCATATAGTCTTTGGACGTGATTGACGTTTGCATCTAGACGCGAACAAGTAGATAAAGTGTAAGGAAACAAAAACTAGGATTGACAAAAAAAAATAAATAAAACAAAAAGGAGTTAGGGATAGAAAACGTCGAAAACTTGAATAAAGCAATTGAGATCAAAATAAAGCATTCTCGCTGTACCATTTGGAAAAATTGCGGCGATTGACGTTGCAGTTTAAGGAAAAATTGCACAACATAACGTCGATGTTTATGCTTATACAGGAGCCAGCCATTAAAACTTGGAAGCGCATTACAAATCTGGTGAATACGCTTTGGAATAGATTATATCTACCTGCCTCGCCGTTTTTAGCGCTCACATATCCATCTTCGCAGATAATAGTATCTGAGGTGAGTGATATTTCTTTTCTCATATTAATTTAAAGTGGATTGATGTATTGAAGTAAGCGAGAGAAAATTTCTTTTGTATACTTGGTAATTACATTTGTGCAATTATAATTCGCAATTTAGTATAAATTTTTGAAATATGTATCTGCTAATAGGGGCTGGATTTTCTCATTGCTTTACTTAACGAAAAGCGCGCTAAGTTTGTTACCAAAATATACAACAATTCACCACGTTAATTTTGTTCTGCAATCAATACTATTTTCGTAATAACATATTTTTATGTTTGCAAAAGCATATTAAATAATTCAAGAATAAAATAGGAATTGAAAAGTGAATATTTGAAAATGTTAATTTTTCCTCCTGAATGTTTTAAATTGCATGCAAAAGTGTTTTCACAGTGGTGAATATGGTGAATATTTAGTAACAGTGCCCTCTGCTGGTCAATCAAAATTGCCGAACGTCATATTGTTCCCATTTGACAGCTATTAAAAATGTCAATCTGAAGCTCAATGCATAGTGTGTTTGGATTTATTAGTTTGAGAATACATGAGATTTTAACATATTAATCTAAAGTTTGATTTCGTGGTTGGTTAACTTTAGTAAATGTGAAGTTTGTGTCTCTTTATATTATTGATTGTATATGTTGGCATAAAATAATATAATCTTGTACCATTTGCACAACAATTGTTTGCATATTTTTACTGGTATTGACGGCACGCATACAGACATACGCTAGTTATAAAAAAATCAATCTCTAGTGCTGCTTGCTAAAACTAGTTTTGAGATTTTTTTGCTTAGATAGAAAATTGTGAAAAATTGGGAAGGAGAACCAATCAAAAGAAACTGAAAGCGAAGAGGTAATTTCAATACAAGGAGGTGGTATAATTTACCAATAACAATATATGAACATTTGCGAATGCTACCGCAAAAAAGTTTTGGATTTTGCTAAGATAGCAGAATTATAATAAAGTTCTAAAAGTAGAGTATAAATTGTACAATTTTTGATGATTTAAAAAATAAAGTATGTTAATAGAGTTCTCTAGAAGATATGTTAATTGTTGATCATTTGGAAACGTAGATTATTTGTACTTCGGCTGTCTCAAATGTAAAAAAGAATAGGTTTAATGTATAATAATAGCATGCGCTCTTATACATACACTTATTTCCTTATCAAATTTTTTTTTTTGTGTAATTTGTGTTAGTGTTTTGTAGAAATTTAACAAATCGGAAACTTTCTATTAAAAAAAAAAGATTTAGGTTGTTAATGATTTTTAGAAACACTATCTTTTTTATTTTTAACTATACCCTGAAAAGGCTATATTGTTCCCAACAAGTTTGCGTTGAAGACCCTGTGAAGTATATGTACAAATGGTCAGCTTGACGAGTTGAGTCGATTTGGCCATAAGTGTCTGTATATAGGCGAAATAGTTTTTCAGTTTTTGAGATATCGATCTGAAATATCAAAAATAAATAATTTAATTAAAATTCAAAAGAATTAACGAAGTAACATCAGTATTAAAAATATGTTGGAAGACTATTGTTTTCAGTAGAAGGGGGCGGGGGGCTACCCAGGAAGAAATTCTGGATCCGCCACACAAACGGTTCGACCAAAATAAAGTGAATTGATTAAAAAAAAAAAATATGTACATATATATGTTTAATATACCTACACACATATAGTTGCTACCGGTTATGAGTTGTTGTTGTTGTAGCGCCAGAATTTTGACGAGTTGATCGTCCTTGACCGGATACGTAAACCCGACGGTTGTGGAAACGGCCAGTGAAGGGTATTATGCTTCGCTGGCGCAGTCTTCTTTTTTGTTTTTTTTTTTGTTTTGTTTATTAGCTAGCTATGTTTTTGAATTTTTATTGCATTAAAATATTTTGTAGATGCCTAGGACACGTAGACGTCATCATTCCAACGATCGTTCTTCGGGTGGTCACAGAGATAAGCGCAGAAGAGTAGACTCTGAAGAGGCGTCGCCTCTACCAAATGATGTCTCATCGCCGTAAGCAATTCTTGATTTGTAAAGGTATAGTTGCTTTAATTTTATAATCTTATTTTTATAGACCACGTGCCAGATATACACGTTCGGATGCCAAAAAGCGTCATCACGAGTCGGACGTTAGTTCGCGTGTTTCAAAGGACTCATCGTAAGTTTTTGTTTCAATTAATTACAACTGTAAATATGTACTCGTATACCTATGGAAATTGGTTGACCCATGATAGTGTGACCAGTTTTTACTTTTATTAGTAGATAGTATACTGATAAGATGATGCATAACTCAGTAATGATAGGCAAAGTTTTATATTTTTCGCAAATAAACGAAATCCGAGTGTACATATTTAAAGAATATGCTTCAAAAGAAGTAGTCGTACTTATTATTTTTATACTCTTGCAACTTGTCACAGCAGAGTATAAGAGTTTTGTTCATCCAACGGCTGTTTGTAACGCCGAAAAGTTATCGAGATAAATATAGAGTTATGTATGTATGTACATATATCAAAATGGTCCGGATGGCGAGACGGACTGAACTCCGTGTGATTGCCCCTCTGGCATTTGTTTTTTTGTCCGTTCTTATGTTACAGTGTGAAATTGAGCGAATTGGACTGTTGGAAGTACCTGGATGATGAATATGAAGATCTCAGTGCGTTTTTTAATTTTTTACACGGGTTGAAACATTTTTTTTTTAATTTTTAATTTCCCGCTAAGAAAATGGAAAATTTTCTAAAAATCGGGAAGATATTGGTTTCACCCCATTTTGCAAAAATCGAGTTCTCAACAGTGGATGTATGTGTGTGTGTGTGGATGTATGTGACCCTCTTATAACTATTAAACTGCTCAACCGATTTGAATAAACTAAACGGCATTCCAAAGGGTTTCATTGCACTTGAATTTCGTGTAAGTTTGGACCCAATCGGACCAGTAGATTTCGAGAAATCTCAAAAATAAAAATTTTGAAAAATCGTTTTTTTCGAATTTTTTCCAAACGACTTGACCGATCGATACCAAAAACTAATCAGTTCTAAACCTTGAAGAAACACATCGTTTGCCGCAAACCGGGTCGAAATCGGTTGATTTACTTGCTAGATATCGAAAACGAAAAATTTCGAAGAGCTCAAAAGCAGTGAAAAAAGCGAAATTTGATACTATCTGGAAACCGTGTTGATGGTTTTCTGGGATCATGTAGTGAGTGAATAAATCGATGACGTGTTTTGCGTTTATTTAGAAAAATGCAGAGCTTCTTGTTTTTATTGCTTTAAACACAAATATTTTTCAACTGAGAGAATTAATAGGAATATTCATTCGAAGAATCGAATACGAACTGTACCACCATTTTTTGTTACAATACATCATTATTTTAAAATAATGAAATTAGAGGGAAGTTGCAGGGATGGCCCTTGAGGCCAACCGTTTTCCACATTTTTTTACACGATTTGAAATTTTTTGGTGTGAATTTTTTCACTATTTTATTCTATTTAGCACGATTAAATATGTTCATTTCACAAATTT